CGTTTCGGCCACAACGCAAGCAGCCGTCCTCAGGTGAAGAACAGGGCTGTCGGAAAGACATTTCGGATGCTGTCTTTCCGACAGCCCTGTTCTTCACCTGAGGACGGCTGCTTGCGTTGTAGCTGAAACGTCGTGAGAATTTAATTTTATTATGTTTTATTTTTATTATTTTATTATTTCCCTTCTACGTGACTTTACCGAAAGAACCATGAAAATATAATTTATATCTAACCCCCCCCCCTCCCCCGTTATTATGGATATACATATCTCATCTCTCTCACACACCTACCAGATTATGGGATGCCCTCCAACGTTTGCTTTAACGTACAGGGGGAATCAAGCGCGACTTGATACGCAATCCGAACGAATACGCTTCACGCATTTGAAACCCGTCGGTTGTTGGTTAAAACAAATCAGGGCACTCCTCTGGTAAAGGTGTGTTTTATGTGGGCGAGTCGCGCTACGTTACGTGAAAGACCCAACGCAGAAGACCCCTGGGTTTGACCTCCCACGAAGCCCATGGCCACACCCTAAACCGCATCCGCTACACAAACCGTGACGCACACATGGAAAACAGTAAAACTCGCCAGCGTGCGACTGTGGTCATCCAGGACAGACGCGTACAACGTGTAGCCCACGCAATGCCACCGCTCCGCAAACGCGAAGGCGACATCGTGAGAGCGATAACGCTCGTGCCCCTCCCGACGCGGTTTATCTGCCGACCTGACCACCTCAAGTGTGAAGTCGAAGTCGTCGCTCTGCGTATGCGTCAGCGGCCGGACGAAGAATGACGACGACCAAGACGTTGCGTAAGGCGATGCGTGCCTTTGCCACCACGGGGAGCGGAGGGGGTGATGCCCGCATCAGTTGCCTGCCACCGGACACCCGAAACGCGCCGAGTGTCTCTCAAATTCCGTGGTCGGTCTGCGCAAGGCGCACCTACTCCAGGCTCGCCCGTTCCCATGCGATCTAAAATTTTGAAAAAAAAAACTGTCTCTCTGCTTTAAAACACATTGTCCTGCGGAGGGAGCTGGTAGGAACGTTGGGTTGCTCGGTCAATGGCCAGGGTCAACGGCGGCGTGGTGTATTCCGCAAATATGCCCGACTGTGAGGGCGGGCACAAGCCGGCGTGAGTAGGTTAAACGTTGAGTTTTATAAGGGCACCACGGGGTGACCAGGCCCTCCCCACCCAGCCCCACTCCTCCCACCCCCCACCCAGCCCCACCCTCCCCACCCAGCCCCTCCCTGCACGACGGACGAACGGACACAATAATCCCCTGTGGGCTGGTGTAACCAGGAGCTTCCTACCAGTATTAGTTTTCATTTATTATTTTTATTTGACTACTTACCTGTACATTTTGATCTAAAGCTTTCGTGACTGCAGGGATTCATATTCTTGGTTCTTTTGGTAAAGTCACGTAGAAGGGAAATATATTAATTATTATTTTATTATTTCCCTTCTACGTGACTTTACCGAAAGAACCAAGAATACTTACCTGTATTTATGCTCTTCGCTGCGCGCGTTTGCGCTTTGCTCTGCTCGGTCGGTGTTGGCCGCTGAGCACGTGACGGGTGCTCTTTTCTCATCCTTGTTACACCGCCCTCCCATCCCTGTACCGGCCCCGGTGACCGATGCCTTACCACTATACTATACGATATTGACGCGCAAAATAAAGACCGATTGATGTTGCGCCGTCATTTCCTGTTTAGCGTTCAACGTTTTTAAGGAAATGTTTCAAAGTTTGGCAAATTTGGAGCATGGAAACCGGCACGCAACGGCCTTCTGAAATACCACCGTGAAGCGGACGGCGGTTATTTGCGTGGTTACTACACCCGCAGTATTAACCAGGGCGGCCAAGAATCTCCGAACTCTGCAACAAGCGGTTACACCCTGATCTTAACCCTAAATGGGACAGAATCAAATATATAACGCGCGTTTAAGGTCGCTAATGCTGAGGTCGCTCAAGGCAGCTTGCACGAAGAACAGAATGTCTTGGAAGGGCAAAAAAAAAACTCAACAGATTCGTAATGTGCCATGAAGAAAGGCCCATTCATTGCATTATACCGTCGCCCGTTTGTTTCTTAGATGGAAAGCACAGGCGCACATTGAACGCTGACTTGCGTCCACTTGACTTTCGTCGCTTCGCTCTTTCGGCCGTTTTCAATTATGACCACATTTCAAATTTCGTCCACGTGGCTTTTCTCTTTCGTCCGATTTCATCCCCAAACCTTCCACGACGTTCGCGCCACGCGCCGGCTTTTTTCGTTCAGTCTTTGAATAGAAGTCGTTCAGTCAGCAGCATCTCTTCTATTTGTGTTTATTCACATATTATTAATACTGTGCTTATGTCTGTTATTATACTCTAAACAATTAATAGGTTTTTTTTCGATTTAAAGCTTTCGTGACTGCAGGGATTCATCTTCTTGGTTCTATCGGTAAAGTCACGTAGAAGGGAAATAATAAAATAATAAAAATAAAACTATAAAATACAATTCTCACGACGTTTCGGCCACAACGCAAGCAGCCGTCCTCAGGTGAAGAACAGGGCTGTCGGAAAGACAGCGTCTGAATGAACACCACGTAAAAAATATACGCTGCCAAGCTTGGTGGTGTTCATTCAGACGCTGTCTTTCCGACAGCCCTGTTCTTCACCTGAGGACGGCTGCTTGCGTTGTGGCCGAAACGTCGTGAGAATTGTATTTAATTATGTTTTATTTTTATTATTTGATTTTTTCCCTTCTACGTGACTTTACCGAAAGAACCAGGAAGACAATTAATAGTTATTTCTGTGATAACGGTATAACACTACAGTGTTTACTTCCGCAAGAATACAAATATTTAAAGGTATCATTTTGTTTATTTAGTTTGTTTATTTATTCTTATGTTTATTTTTTTTATTTTATTTTGTTTATTTAGATTTCGCACGCATGTGTTATATAGTTACTGTAGTTATTTGCATGTACGTTTTTCGCCGGCCAAGATAAATTTGCAAGCTAAATACTCTGCTGTGACATTCGTCCATGCTCTGGTCCCTAAGCACACGAAAGTGCATGCAAGGTCTTCCTGTGTCTGGTATTTGTCGTCTCCTCGTGGCCATATAGGACATTACACCCTGCCACAGTGGCGCAGGGTAGAGTTCACCTCGCGCCTGTGTCCACCGGAGGGCGCTCTAAGCACTCTTTAACACTGGAATGCAAACGAATGCGAGAAAATGATGCAGCCAATGGCGTTTTTGGTCAAAAAAAATGTGAAAGCTCAAAATTTTTTGTAATAAAAATCGAATTCATCCATTGTGCTTAGGCTAAGTATGCTAGGTATAAGATAAAAAGTGAGAAATTTCACAAAATGTTCACGTGAAAATATTAACACACCAAATATTGGCAACATTGTCATTTTTCGATTTAAAGCTTTCGTGACTGCAGGGATTCATCTTCTTGGTTCTTTCGGTAAAGTCACGTAGAAGGGAAATAATAAAAAATTAAAAATAAACATCATAAAATAATTCTCACGACGTTTCGGCTACATTATTTCCCTTCTACGTGACTTTACCGAAAGAACCATGAAGAAAAAAAAAACATTGTCATTGTTTTATTTTTCCATTAAAAAGTGAATTCCTCCATTGCGATTACACTTAGTGTATGCTATATATAAACTAAAAAGTGGAACATTTCACGCTCATTTTTTTTTTCACAGGATAAAAATCCCTTGGTCGCAGGACTCGTGCTCACTCGAATGCCCGACTCGGCAATCGGTCCTCCTCCATCCTGCACACACACGACTCGTCATATCGTACAACACTTTCCTGCCAGGACCTCTTCCAAGCATCCCCATATCTTATCCTGTCCATAATAGAGGTTAAATAGTGAAATGTGTCGTTAAACCCGCCAATACCCGACACAGCCAATTAGTAAGGTTTGTCACGAAAACAGAACGTGCCATTTCGTTACTAGTACATCAAAGCCACAACATTTATAATCTGATTGTAAATGTTGTGGCTTTGCTCTCCAACACACCGGTGTGCTGAGCTAGTAACGAATTGACACGTTCTGTTTACGTGACAAACCTTATTTATTGGCTGTGTCGGTGGTGGTGGGTTTAAAGACACATTTATATATTTACGCGATCTAACCCCCCCCAAAAAACCTGTATTATAGAAGATATTGCTCGCGAGAGCCTACTAAATTCGGTCACAGTTCCTATGATCACTGTTTCATTGCTTTAATGGCTTTATTTTGGTGATTTTCGAAAAGTTTTTTGGTTTGGCCATGTTTTATTGTTGTAGTCCAGAGTTAGACTGATGGCCTCAGTCTAAGTTGTCTCGTGGTTGTTGTTGTTGTTTGACTTGCATCCCACTGGGATTTTTGCACACAGTGTTGGTGTACGGTGCTTTTTCTGCAATATTTTGCTGACTTTTCTTGGATTTTCTGTTTGCACATAGTCACATAGTCACTTTAAGATGTTTTCTTGTTCATGTTTTTGTTTTTTGTTTGTTGCGGTTGCACCCGATTCAAGAGCCGAATGGCTCACAGGGCTATACCTAATACATGAACTTGAACTTGTTGAACTGATCTTATCCTGTCTTGCCACAAAATTCCCAGCATCTGTCTTAAAACACCTGTGCTCATCACAGTCCAACTGTTGAGTGACTAGCCTACATTTTTTTCATTTTACCAGTTAAGGCCCACTGAGCTATACGGCTCCTTTTCAGAAGCGACCCGGCAATAAATGAGAGCTCAACGAAGTGGTTCATCGTGTGAAAATGTATAGCTGCCAAATACTCTGGAGGGAAAAACCTCAAGAAAAAAAATCCACGCGAACACAGGGAGAGAGACGTGGAAACTCCAAATACACAGCAGGCGTCAGGGTCGAGGTGGAACCCACAACCTCCTGCATACCAGGCGAAGTAGTTAACATCTCTCGCCACAATCTAGAGCTCTCCGATTCAGTGCGGTGATGCGGGTTATTATCACCCCCCGCCAATGAACGGGCTTCGCAAGCATTTACTTTTACACACACCTTTTATTTGCAAACAATAAATAAACGGGATTTCATACAAGTAAACGTACTCAAGTAAAAGAGCGCAAAGAGCCCTCGCTGGGTTCACATTTATAACATTTATAACCATGCTGTTAGAAATGTCACCCGTTTTCATAAGCAACCTCGGTTAACTTCCACTGACCGTCACTCATTGAAATTCGCCCAAATTGTTTCGCTCATAAAACCCACGGATTTGCTTTTCCCCATCGGACAGCAGGTTAGCGGTGAAAGCGTGAAGAATTAGTCCACCACGATGAGACGATCTCGAAACGACGACAGTGAATTAGCCCCCCCACCCACTCCCGGACGAGTGTTTGGGTTGCACCCCGTTGCATGTCCTCCGCTAAGCCCGTTTCGTCAAGAACGTGGAGCGAAACGTCGGGACATCGTGCTGAACGTAACACTGCGGCAAAACTCGGAGGCGCAGCGGCGAGCTGCACGGTGCAACCGCGGAAAACCCCACGTGGTCGTGTTGAACACTGAATTATAATGAACGCGTCACGTCTAACGGAAGTACGCCCTGTATCGCTTATAAAATTCGATACAAAAGTGTGTGGCGTTTTAGGGGAAACTAAACAACTAATTGCAAATATATTGTGCCTAAACTTGGCAACACACTAGCACCATATGTAATTGTCCCTCGAAGGCTTTGAACATTCATAACCCTATTGACTCGGCGCAACTCTAAATGTGGGTAACGACAGTTGAGCACCGCTGGATATATTTTAAGAAGTGTGAGCGAAACACCGCTTCGTGTAGTGGCGAGAGGAGCCGGCCAGAATTAACAAAAATATATATAACAACCACAACACACCAGCTGTCAACAAGGGATTAATAAACATCGGGATGAAATTCAAGAACGAAAACAGATATTGACAATGAAACCACACGGTTGAACGAGTGAAAAGAATGCGACACCACTTGAGCCATTTAATCCGAGGTGCGTAGCAGCATCGGGCAAGTTTGCATCCAAGCGTCGGGGAGAAGAAGCTGATCGGTTGCGCGGATTTTTGACAGATTTCCCAAGTCAACGGTGCCCAGCGGCACTATTTGAAGAGCGTGGCGATTCATCTAAATTCAGATTGGCATCATTGCCCCCTACACCTGGCACTGGGAATTTTTCAAATCCCTTTCCGCGGCGCGTGCGTCCCTCCCGCGCCCGGAGGCTCGCTACACGGCCCAGCCTCGGTGCGAACAAACAGTGCCTGTCGCAAGCTCGACTCGTCATTGAGGCCAAAGAGACCCGAGGTCATTCCGACACCCGCTTCCTCTGCTCACAATGCAACGCACGCTATGAGCGGCGCAGATTTATGGTGAATGTGAATATTGCTCGATCGTCGAGGAAGAAGTTAGGGGGGCATTGGGCAGGGACACGTCGCTCGCAAGGGACGATGGCCGGAGGTCGAGGCCAATGACGGAGTGGCAGCCAAAGGTGGTGGGGGAACGCGCTCGAGGCGACGTCTGCCACGGAGATGGAGCAATCACGAAAAGCTTAGGCACAGGGGCTGGAGAGCTTATTGCTTTGTACGTGACAAGATGACAGTGGCTTGGGGAGGCTTTCACCCAGCAGTGGATAAAAGATTACGACTGATAATGACGACAATCATGATGATGATGACGACGGTCATTCTGAAAAGCGCGTATGGCTACGGCGGAGTAGATACGTTTATTTAAACCTTTCCCATTCCGATGGCGTACGAAATACGTCATCGGTTGAACTAAAATACACTATCTATAGCGGTGCGTTTTCAGGTCGGAAGACGTAGCAAGGCTCCCACAATGCCACGCGGGAGGGCGCGTGGCACGGTTTGGCCCCAGCTATCATAGAGCGCGTGTCGTGTCGCTACGGCACTCTGCGGTGAGTAACAACATCCTTAAAAACAACGGCGCTACGCCTCTCTCAATAAAATGAACGCCGAGCCGCGACCGCGTTCCGAGATTCGGCGGTGAACGGGGGACCCAACGCCCTGCAACTTGCAGACCGTCTAGGAACGCGAAAGGGTTCAATGACGCGTGAGGGCACTGCTCATCGCCGTCGTCACCGCCACCGCCGCTCTTCACCGTTAAACAGAGGACACCGAATGGAAGATTGACTGCGGGAGGGCGACCAGCCCCGCTTGTCAATGTCGAGAGTGGCACCGCATGAGCGCGGGGGCTGGTTGCCGAGCGCGTTTGGTAACAACGAGCACTCGTCATTGAGTCGGTTGCGGGCCGGAGCGAGTAGATTTAGCATCGGAGCCGAAGGGCAGATCCGTCTTGGTTAAAGGTCAAATGTTGCGCGAAACGTTGCACACAGTATAAAAGCACTTTGTTACAATGATTGTCATATACAGTTTCTTATGCCGCTGCGTTAATAAAGTAGTTTTCTCTACATCTTACAAAAAAAAGATATACGTGACCGGTCAATGCTTCGCTCGTATGCATCGTTACTAAGACCTGCATACGTAATTACTCAAGGTGTGAGTGTTTATTGTGTTTTATAATATACATATAACGCTGTGTATATAATAACTAAGCACGGATATAATTTTCTACACCATGGCAAACGCACCTGGAGGATAAAACAACAATGTAATGTGCAAGAAAGTCACACCGCAATGCAAAAATAGAGACAACTTTACAACAAACAAAACACTTCTAAGTCATGCAAATAGAAAACGCCAAAGATGTAGCAACGCTCCAGTAACAGCGGCATTGCGAGTGATGTGACATTATCTGTTCGGTAAGGGAGACGAGGCTTAGTTGGTCTCGGCACGTGTTGAGAATAGACAAGAGAAGGTTCAACGAGAAGGGCTATGGAGATTTGATTTTTTTTATTTAACCAGGTAAGACTCACTGTGCTGTGCGCCTTTTGTCGTCATCTGGTCCGACACCATGTGAGATTAGGCTCTAAGAAAAGCTGTCTCGAGTATGGACTAATCAATTTCAAGGACAGTGCATACATGATCAGAGTTGTCTTTTTGTTTGCATTTTGACCGCAAGTGTTGTGGTTAATGCAATCATGAGCCCTTGTATAAAGGTGTCTGTTTTTATGCCAGATAAAAGGGTAAAAACCTATTACTGTGTAGATATATTTCAGAAGAGACCTGATGACAAAACTGTAGCTCAACACAGTGGCTTATCACGTGGGTATTTATAGCAGCCAAATACTCTAAACGCGAGTTGATTCTAAATATGGAGGAAAAAACCGAAGGGCTCGGAGAAAAATCCACGCCACCAAGGGGAGAGAGACACGCAAACTCCAAATATACAGCAGGCCTCAGGATCGGGATCGAATCCATGACCTCCTGTATATCAGGCGAGGCAGTTAACATCTCGCCACCGTGGCGATGAACCCGCGCAGAGCAGGAGGAGCAGAGGGAGACCGATGGCGATGGGAGGATGTGGTGGAGTGAGATAAGAGACTGCAGAAGATGTACGGAGAAAGAAAATCCGAGCAGCCGGACTCCGTGCCAATAATTGTTCTTCTAGCTTGGAAGAAGTCACGTCTAAGAGACTCGATGTAGGTTTATGTAAGTGTCGTGGTTTCAATGTAAATATATATGGTCTCGCATGTATGTATGTATTCATATGTGGGTGTTTATGTAAGTCTGCGGCTCATGTAAGTGTATGCCAGACTATGGGTCTCTATGTGAGTCTATGGGTCTCAATGTGAGTGTATGGATCTTGTAAGTGTTTATCAGTCTATGGGTCTGAATGTAAGTCTATGGGTCTCTATGTAAATCTATGGATCATGTAAGTGTATGCCAGACTATGGGTCTCTATGCAAGGCGAGTGGTTGTGGTTAGTGTAAAAGCGCAGGTAAGAATTAGACCAAGAAAGATAATCCAACTAAATCCACTGCTGGGACTGTGGGCTTAGAAGACGCAGAAGAGAGAAACCTAACATGGGGACTCAATGTACAGCCTGTCAGCAGAGGATTATGTCGGCTGTGATTGGCTGATCTGTCGAACAAACGGATCCCACTAATATGGCTATTCGCAGGTGTCCTCTTAGCTGTGCTTTCAAGTGCCCCTCTCACACACGTGTGGGACTCTCGTACCGTAGGAACACATGTTCCCTGAAAGGAAGAAAAAAAATCCCATTTTTCTAACCAGCAGCAATCAATTCCTGATCGAATGCCAGGGTTCAACTAGTAACTGGCTCTTACTTTTTTTAAATAGCGATGTTGACAATCCTACACGATAAACTGGCCCCCGCCACAGAAACGTGGAATTTCCACAAACGGCTTTGGGGGGGGGGGGTGCACCCACAGCTACAGATATGATCACCGCCCGTCACTCGTTTAAGCGGGGACACCACTTTGCCCTTTAAAAAAAGAAAATATTAGTTCTCATTTTAATAACTCTGACAAGCCTTCGGTGAACCGTCAAGGGTGGCCGCGTCCAAACACAAACGTTGTTTAAATGCAAATCGAAGCGGAGGAAGAAGAGGTGGGGCGGCGCAGGTGGAGTTGCGGGAGGAGGATGAGCGGCGGCGATGGACTCGTCGCTCACGGCCCCTTGACGTTCTGAGCGGGGCGTGCGAAGGACGCTGCGAAGTAGCACGTGGACGGGTCGCACTGACCCGTCCGCCCGGGCGGGCCCTGCGGCCCCGACTGCCCTGGGACGCCGGGTTCCCCCGGCTGGCCCTGCGGGCCGGGTGAACCGTCCTTGCCGAAGCCTGGAATTCCAGACTGACCTGCATTGCCGCACGCAATAGGTGCGGGGGGAGGGGGGGATGGTCACATACCGGGTGAGGCATCGCAGGGAAAACAAACGTGGACAGCCCCCCCCCCCGGCCCCCCCTCTCGTCGTGTGTGCCACCGCCGGACCTCACGCTGGTGATCACATGACGTTGGACCGCGTTGAGGACTCGGTCTACCAGGCTCGCCGTCTCTTCTCATCCACCACCACGCCGCCGGTCACAAACACCTCCCTTTCTGCGTGTTCCCTCTGCGCTGCTCAACTTTGAATTTCCATCTCGTTGTTTCTTTACCCAAGCTCCTACGATAATCTTGCTAAATTCAAGAAATGTGTCCAAACTCTGATATATTACAACTACGGCAATCCTGGTTGTTGCTGACCCGTTAATGTTTTGGGCTTTTGGGCCTGTGCTTAAAAAACATGTAAAACAAAAATAACAAATCTGACGCTGACCCATCGCATCCCACGCTGGCCCTTCAGTGTTCACCCGTCCATCACACGGCACCACGAGGTATACATGGGTTAGGGACGTGGAGAATGCTAATTTACTTAGCCCCAGACAACACACCATACTCTGACCCAGGAATCCTATGAATCCTTTGTATTATCAGATTATCTGTAGTGGCTGGTAAAGGGACATGGGTGGATGTATTGGCTGTATGAGCTGTGTCTATATTCTCGTCAATTATCACGATAAAAATAAACCGTGGTATTTCAAAACTCTGGCAGAGCTTTGCCTCACCACGTGCTGGAGAATGGCCTGCAGAAGGAGATTTCACAGAACTACTTCCGAGGTTCCGTCAAGTGACTCTTTCATCCAAACTCGGGGTACTGTACTTTCCCACATGCCCTCTTGTAGAGATGTTTGTCGGGTGGAGATAGAAGCGATATTTGTAACCCTCACAGCTGGAAATTTGAAAACTGAATCCCAGACTCTGACTCCAGGATCTCAGCAGTACTAGCTCGATGCTCTGAGCCCCGAGCTACCCGGTCACCTCACACGAGAGTTCAATATTTAAATCTCATTGTGAGAATGTGCAATGCCAAGATAACCGGATTACGTAAGCGAAGCGGGAATATCAGACGTGGCAATTACACGGGCCCTTTAATGCGTGCCAGTGACCTTCCGCCAGGTGGCTGGACTAATAAAACCCCAAATGAAGCTCGCTTTAAAATGTGGTGATTATGAAGGTCTGCGTTCCGCTCTAAAAATACTGTTCTTTTATCTTGCCGGTGCTTGCCGAGGCCACGTTGACTCATCACGGCTGCCTGCAGCGGGAGCCGCAAGGAGGCGATGTTGCCCGCGCACGCTCGTGGCGGCTTCACTGAAAATTCTATTTTAATTAGATTTTTTTTAACCAAGCGTCGCTGGGTTGCATCACGCGTTGCCCTGCGTGATGGCCGACGTTCTGCCCGACGAGCTGGGAGCTTCGTTAAAAAAACTGAACCAAGTTCCCAGAGAAGCTTGGAACAACGTGTGATAACGACCTGAAACTGCCAATACCTGTACAGTGGTATGACCATAAATTTTATCTTCTCCCCCATGAAGAACGTAACCAGGATCAGACAAAGAACCCGTCGGCATGTATGTACAATATAACAGCGTTTGACTTTGTCATGATTTTTACAATCATTATTGCTGTTGTTGTCGAGTGCGTTGCATGTGAGAGCGAGTTTAAAAACAGCGAGAAGCCTCACCTGGTGGGCCCTGCGGCCCCATGTCACCACGTGCGCCGACCCCGAGCATTCCTCTCTCCCCCTTGGGTCCCCGGTCGCCTAAGAGAATGAGGACATCGCAGTCGTGACAGCCCCCACCCCAGCGTTCGCGCCAATAGCTATCGAGTGTGCAGGCGGTGCGACTGCAATGGGGCGCATGGGCCCAGGAGCCGGTGTACGAAGAGAGATGGAGGGAAGTTGGACGGCGGGGGAGCAAAGTTCATTCCTTGTCACCGGGGTCCATTGCAACCTCGCTGTGCCACTGGTTATAGTTTTACAAAATTACCTTTCTTGAAGTAATTGCCTTTGTCTTGCAATCACTCTCTTGTGATGGCTGAGAGTGACATCGTCATTGCACAATGAGTGCAATCGTTCACAAGATTTCTGAATCTCAGCTGCACATTTTCTGGATCTATATATATTTAAAATGTATTAATGTAATGTAGTAATATATGGTTAAACAATTTGGGGGGGGGGGGGAGAGACCTTCATCCGGCAGAGGATTTACAAATTAATTTAAAATAATGTTATTTTATAATGCTGTAATTATGAAAACACATTGTGATAAAGGCTCATAGCGCGGCATAAATTATTGAAGTAAGGTGCGCGCAGATGTTTGAGTCGGCAAGCGTGGAAGTGGCTGGTTGTTTTAAATTCATATCACCAACAGGCGTCAGAAGGTCACACTGCCGTGCAGTGAAATTGCGGGGGAAATCAAAGGATTATTTTACAAGCACTAAATCAGTTGACCTTTCAAAAACAATATTCAGATTATTATTTTTCTTTTCAACTGGTACGTATTACAAAAGGAGTTTAGAAAATTGGAGAAAATGCATTTACTTCATTTATTTCCTGCCCATTCTTCACTGCACTTTTTTCAGCGTCCTGAAATACAACAGCCCTGTGTGTGTGTGCTATAGCCGTGCAGCCGTAATGAAAGGGAAACAGTTTGACCTTCTACCCAACGAGAACGTCGGCAAGACCTTTTTGCATTGACGATCACATGGGTGGGTGGGTGGGTGGGAGGCGCAGTTGGCCCAATGTCCCCATTTACTTCTAGATTTGAAGCTTTCGTGACTGCAAGGATTCATACTCTTAGTTTTTTCGGTAAAGTCACGTAGGTAAAAAAATGAAATTAAAATTAATAAAAATAAATAATTTCGTATTTTTACCTACGTGACTTTACTGAAAAATCTAAGAATATGTCCCCATTTACCTCGGACCGATGCCCAGAACGGGTAAAGAATAACCGCACGGCGGTGACCATCGACACACACCCAAAGGAGTTGATTGCGATGAGTGCGATGAGCCCAGACAAGGGCCCGATGTTGAGTTGACACTCACCCTTGAACCCCGGCAAGCCCTGGGGGCCTTCGCGACCCATCTGCCCCGGAGGTCCAGGCTCTCCAGCCGAGCCCGGTCGCCCAGGCAACCCGTCCTTGCCTGGGTTACCGGCGGGGCCTGGTTTGCCAGGCGAAGCCATTATGGCTGCCGGCTGGACTTGGCCGATGATCCGCGCCATGCTTTCTATGGAAAACAGAATTTTGCGAAATGTGATAAATTACCCACAAATTATTTTATTAGAAAAAGGAAAAAAAACACAAAGCAACATAGCTCGCTACTTGCACAACCATGCCCGTGTGCAGGCTGGTGCCGCATACACCTGGTGCTACACAGGGACAGCTGCCACTGGGGGTCCCCCTGGGCTCGAGTGCCATAGGAGCGAGTGAGATGAAATGTGAAGTGAGGAGCTTTCATTTGCCGAGGCATTTAAGTGCCCTGCAAATGGAAATTTTAAATCCTAAATGCCAAAACGCACGGGTGATGGGGCTTTCGTGACTTATATTAAATGGAGGGCAATTGGTTCCATTTGATCTTAAAGCAGAATGAAAATGCCAGCTTCCAGTGTGACACCGATATCCCCTGGGCTGAGCACTGCGATGCTCGCGTTGTGGTTCTGACGTACCGTCCAGCTGTCTCGACACTTCTTCTCTGATGAATCTCTTTAGGTCATCAAAGGACACGGATTTCCCCTACAGAAAAAAACAACAACCAATAAAACAAACAGAAGGTGTAAATAAAATAAAGTATTAATGTGCAGTGGACTCCTACGGGCTGTCTGCCCATGGACCGTGATGATGATGAAGACTCTGAGACATTGCTATGGATTGGAAAGTCCTTCATCCTGGAGTGCGTATGTAATGGCTGACGGTTATGACAACAGGTAATTGTTGAGAATTAATTAGTCTCAGCACATTGTTATACATATATTTTATCATCTGGCCAGGACTCTTGGATGCATTCTAGGTAAATGTGCAGCCCTGCAAGTTCTTGCTCATGCCACTGATGGCAGAAGGGCCACCCCTAGAGTCGGCTTAATAGGCCATTTGGCCTACTCTTTCACGCTAGCCAGAAGACTTGGAAGAGGTGGTCGTCGTCACCACACGTTACCCAACCATACACGACCTGCCGATCGACTAACTGTGATGCACCTATTTGTACTGCTGGGTGGACAGAGGCAGTGACATTTAAGAAGCTTGCCCCCATTGTTTCAACTGCCGTGCCGGTAGGTTGAATCAAACCGGGGACCTCTGGATTGCAAGTCCAGCACGCTAACATATGACAGTGCAGCGGCATCTCGCAAGCATCGAATGATATTTTAGTCAAGGGCTGCCCAATAATCTATTGACCTCCCCTATCCAAAGGGCACGGATTTCCATCAAGTGCAGACACTGTTGCAAGAAGAGAAAAAAAATAAGATAATTTGCTGGCCGAACACTTCAAGAGATGTCCGAATAAATCAAGTGCCGGCATTAAATCGCACGTGCGGTTACACACAGCGCTGCCCTGCCCTGCCACCGGACTCGCGTACTCCCACGCAACGTCCTTAGCGGGACATTTCCACGCGCGGTGAGCGACGCCACTTTTGGTTTCGCTCCGCATCCATCCACCGCCAACCACGCCGAACCTAGTCGAGCGTCGCAAAGATCGCTGGTGCAACGTGGCACAGAAGACAGTTCAACGAGATATCGCTGAACGGCATTTTTGTTGTCAGTCCACTGCTGGATGAGGGCCTCCCAATGCTGTACGGGTTACATGTGCAGGCCTTTGTTGTCATTCCACTCCTGGGCGAGTGGCCTACCCACATGCTTATGAATATAGCACTGCAAGACGCCGCTGCATTGGGAAACGCCGGCCAGAAGTGAGAATGGATGGTGAAAGTTGCTCTACACGTTTCGGATAGGGGCCAAACAGGCTTATCTGAACTTCGTCAGGAGCTGAACCCCTCTGAATGCATGGCTAGGAGAAGGTGCTTGTCACTCACGTGGCTTAAAATCACAATGTAAGCACCACACACAACGGATCGTGAGGGTTGGCACGGCCTACATCCAGAAGTGGATTGATCACTGCCGATGATGATGCCGACGATTGTAAATCGTACCGTCACGGCCGCACGGATCTACCTGAAGGCCTGGTTGGCCTGGTTGCCCCGAGGAGCCCGGTGTCCCAGGAAAGCCTCTCTCGCCCGGTGGCCCAGCAGGACCCATGGGACCCGTGAATCCCTTGTGGCCCGGTGTCCCGGCCTCCCCGTCGCGGCCCTTGTCTCCGCCAGGGCCCTTCAGGCCTTGGACGCCCGGGTCGCCCTGCGGGCAGAGCAATGGCGTCGCCGTCACGCGACGCTGCTCGACGTGCGTGGTTGTGCCGACGGGCGGTAGGAGTCTTTTAACACCGCCCGGGGGAGTGCCACCGCCTAGTAGCGTGGGCCAGAGGTCGCAACCGGGTACCCGATACCCGTACCCTACCCGATACCCGGCTACCCGTACCCGGCCAGGTACGGGTACCCGTTTGCGACTCTGGTGCGGCCGGGTACGGGTACGGGTAGGCCGTGAGACACTGGTGAGTAACCGTTTGTCACGCATTTCGGGTAGGGTACGGGTAGGGAACAGGTTAGGGTAGGGAACAGGTACCCATTTGCGACCCTGGTGCAGCCGGGTACGGGTACAGGTAAGGAATCAAAACCCGTTTGCGACCTCTGCCGTGGGCGTTTTGAAGGGGGCACCGTTCCGTTTGGATATCAGGTCGAGGTTGCCGGCCGGTACTCGAACCGGCACGTTTCTCGTCTGGCTACGGTTGGGGTGTCCGCAAGTCGTCGCAGCTCTTCCCTGTTACGAGGACCAAACCAAGTCCGATGTTGGAGAAGCACGAACACATCGGTAACGCTTTTGGGGGGAGGCTGCGGGGTAACGTGGAAGTCGCCTGTCCTGCCGGTTCGTGAACAGGGGGAGCTTCAAACAAATTGGCTGCAGGTGCTCCGACTGTACATCTTTTAGACTTTTGCTATTTTTAAAACTAATTGTGGTAACTATTCTAGTATCCCAAAACTTTGTCACCGTACTTCGAATTTTTGAATAGTATTTGTGCTTTGCTGTACTTCAAGTACAAATACATGATCGTGTGAGAGTTATTCGACTGCAGCGAATTCAATATAAGCCTGCCATGAGTACTTTGATTGATTAAAATCCATAAAATAATGAAACATTTCAATGAAATAAAAAAATTATGACGTCATGTAATTACCACGGCGTCAATTGCTGCGCGCGAAAAAAACGCCTTTTGCAAAGCACTCATGTTATGGCTAAATAGCTCTTTGTTTACAACTGTTCAATAAAACAGTCACGTAAAATAAGGCGAGTAATGATAATCGCGATATGGCGATATCTATAAAAGTAGATAATGCGATGATTTTTGTGGCTCTTGTATCCCACGAGATACGGTGCCCATTTGCTAATCGCGGCAATCGTCGCGCTGACAATGGGAGGCAGTGACGGGCAAATCACCGTGGGTGGCGATCGATGTGGCCTGGGTGGTTTTGGCAGTAAGCGTGATTGCCACGGAGCCAATTTTCACAGAGATCGATCATCGACTGATCATGACCCAAATGTGCAGTTTACTGGAGAGGGAAATTTAAAAACAATAGTGCTTCATTCACTGGGTTTCCATTAGGCAGTAGCGGAAAAAAAACTGAGCTTAAAGGTAATGGTGCAGCCGTGTAATTACTTGATCATGCCAATACTGGTCTACTGGACATCTGTGAAGAAGAGCTTTATAGCTCATAGGATTCCTCCAGTATAAATACATCTTCTGATTCTGAGAAGGGCATTAATTCTATCGTGCTGTGACGGTTCCACCTGAAGATGGATAGCTGTACAGCTGTCGTGCTGTGACGGTTCCACCTGAAGATGGAAGCTTGTGTTGCCTCCGAAACGTCGTGATTTTTATTTTATTTTTATTTTACTTTTATTAATTTAAATTTTTTACCTACGTGACTTTACCGGAAAAAACCTAAGAATATCTGAGAAGGGCCTCCACGCTGGCCAAACATCTTGGAAGAGTTGGAAGTAGGAGCACTTTGCCTCGCTGCACGTGACCTGCCCATCTGTTAATTGTAACTACGCTTGTTTGTCGTAAAAAACTAATTTGCGTAAGTTTTCTGAACTCAGATTTTAGTTGTTTTGTTTTTTGTAACAGTCACTAAAGTGCTGTGAATTATGTAGCGTTATGGTGTTCATAATAACGCATCTTACAGGCATTAAGTTAGAAAATATAAAAGGCATTCATTGCTATGCTCTGCGGGAGTGGGATGTTTTTGGACGGACATATAAATCTTTATCCGTCCTGTCAATTGCCCTTATCCAACATAAAAAAGACGAATTAGAAACCCGGGTATTGCACGTGCGTAGGAGGTCACTGGCTAGTTTAAAATCTAAATCGGACACCATTTCACGCCGCTTAATTGTAAAACAAATATCCGTCTCCACTTAAGGGTTCGGTTGCATGCGTCGCTCTTGAAAAGCAGGGCCTGTAATTGGATGTCAGTCGGCCCCGCTCCTACTTAAATAAAGGACAATGATTGAAATGGGATTATCCTTTAATACACTTGGTCTGGCTCGTTGCTCCAAGGGCGCTGAACGATGATTGCTTGGGAAGGATGCGCATCTGCTGTTGATTGTGTGCGACGGAGGGCGATAAATGTACCCTCTCTCCTTTGGGGCCCCGGTCTCCTGCTCGTCCGGTAGCGCCCTTTATTTAATGAAGAAAAATTTAAAGGGGGGAAAACAAAAATTAAACTTTCAAATGTGGAAATGCATTCGGGTCTGGGTTATTGCAAAAATCTATTATGCACAATCACAAAAAAACAACATTTCACGAGTCCACGCATAACCGAATGGAATACATTACTACGAGCGTGGATATTGCACACGTGGTGTAATTGCATTGTGTTCGTTTTTACTGCGGTGTGCAAAAATCGCGGGGTTATTGTGCTGGGACTTTTCCGCGCAGCGACTGAAGAAATAACGGCGCTCACTTCTTTTCCAACGGGGCCTGCCATGCCTTGCTCACCCTGCAAAACAGACATTGTGAATCAACACACAGGGGTCTATAAACACACACACACAGATGTCTGCCAAACTCTCATTGTTAATAATGCTCATTTTAGTAACTTCAACCATCCACTGATAGACGAAGGGCTCACCTACAGCATGTGTGTCACAGGGGTTGATTGACCATACTTCACCATGCTGGTCAGTGCGAGGTTGGCAAATCGTGAGCCCACGGCCGGTTCAGATTTCACCACCGATGCAATCCCCATGGCCAGAATAAAATGTAGGTCACGGGTTCATAGTGAAGTCTGCTAACCATTGAGCCGGCGCTCTCCCCCGGTAATGGCCATTATGTTTAATTAAGTACATCACGATGGTGGGGGACTTCAGACTGATGACGACTGCAATCTCCTTGCTGGAGGGCAAAAATGTCTCACTTGTTCAATAAAAAGGCTGGCAATGTGCCCCCCCAACCTTGCTGTCACAAGTACGTCAACTTTTTTCATTCAGAAAAAAAAATGCCTGCATCAGAAGGGGCGAGTCAATTTCGTTCAGTGCGTTTTTTTGTACACTGGAGGAAACTGGAGAAACCTAGAGAGAAGCCATGCATGCGATGGGATTACAAGCTAAGGTCTGCACAGATTGTTTAAGAACCAACTTGTTGCACTGTATTACACTGTCACTTCCCAGCCGCCTGGCAGCTTAGCAGGTTATTGGGAGTTTTTCACCATAAATCTAACACAATCAATCTAACTCTTGCCTCCAAAGTGCCGGATCAGAGCCCTGTGAGATGATAACTACCTCGCCTGGTATGAAAGGTTTGTGTAAAAGTAAATGCTTGCGAAGCCCGAATTGGAGAGCTCTCGATTGTGGCGAGATGTTAGCTACCTCGCCTGGTGTGCAGGAGGTTGTGGGTTCCACCCCGACCCTGACGCCTGCTGTATGTTTGGAGTTTCCATGTCTCTCTGCCTGTGGTCGCGTGGATTTTTCTCTGAGGTTTTTCCCTCCAGAGTATTTGGCTGCGATTCATTTTCACACGATCAGCCACTTTGTTGAGCTATCATTTGTGGCCAGATCGCTTCTGAAAAAAAGCTAAATAGCTCAGTGGGCCTTACCTGGTAAAATAAAAAAGGTTAAAAACAGTTCATGTGTCTTCACTGCCTCCTTATCGGTAGTTTAGCTTAGTTGTGCACATCACTTCAGCGATGGCCTGAAATGTCTTGGTGGCCCAAAATAAGTAAGAATACAGGGAGATTTATCGGAAACTCTTGGTCACACCATGGACGAGAAAAAAAATGCGCAACGCATCACCGACCGCTGGCCCAGGAAGCCCTCTCGGCCCAGGAAAGCCGATCTCTCCCACGTGTCCCTTGTCACCCTTGGATCCCTGTGGACGTCACACACACACAGCATGCAGCATCACGCTGCCGGCTCCCGACGCCTGTTAATCCTCCGCTGGCTGTAAACTCAATAGAGGTGACAGCACTGGATTTATGTGTGGGGGGGGGGGGGGGGGGGCGGTGAAAATGGGGCTTTTTGTCACCACAATTCAAAACTCCAGAGAGGCCCCACGAAAAAGAAAAGTAATAAGAAAAGTAGGACGATTTAGTCATGTTATCGTTTAATATGAAGGTAAAGGTGCAGCCCTGCAATAGCATGCTCACGCCACTGCTGGCGGAAAGGGCCCTCCACTAGAGGGAGCTCTCGTCTTAAGGGTTGGGAGGGCCCGTATTTTATCCCAGCGCACTCGATCTGCCGATCGACCAACTGGTACCCGTTCGTGCTGCTGGATGGACAGAGCCGGGGAGATCAAAGAAAGCCGCACCGTTGCTGCAACTACCGCACAGGGAGATCAGACCGCCGACTTCTGGATTGCAAGTCCAGTGTGCTCACCGTTACAGCATGTTGGCATATCATTAGCAATTCAATATGAACAATATAAACAACATTACCATTATTAATTTCCGTTTCATTAGGTTTAAATTCCTTCGTCCACTTTTCACTCCCATCAGATGTTAATTGATTAACCCATTCGCTTTGTGCTTGTGTCTGTATGTATGTGTGTGTGAGTGGAGGAGGCTCGTGAAGGACGCTACTGGGCAGCTGGAGGCAGGTGCCCTCCAACAACAGCAGAGGGCAGAGGAGCGACACGCACAAAACAACGAGTGGAGCGCCGAGTGACTAAAACACCCCATGGCGCCTGGGTCTGTCCCGTGACCTCCTGCCAGCGAGCCTTTGACACTTCACGTGGCCTCAGAGTGCACCTAGCCTGGCACAAGTGCCGTGGTGACGTTACTGCCACTTGGTGGAAAATGTCGGTTGTTGTTGTTGAGTAGAGGGAGGGGAGGGGAGGAAGTGGGCGTTCTTTTCTGTTTTGCAATGCCACAGGGCAGAGATTCTTAAATCCATCCCGAAGTAATGTACATCTGTGTGGTCTCCAAAACGTCGCAGGCCAACAACGTTGACGTGGAACAATTTAACCAACGTTGACGTGGAACAATTTAACCAACGTTGACGTGGAACAATTTAACCGACGTTGACGTGGAACAATTTAACCGACGTTGACGTGGAACAATTTAACCAACGTTGACGTGGAACAATTTAACCAACGTTGACGTGGAACAATTTAACCGACGTTGACGTGGAACAATTTAACCAACGTTGACGTGGAACAATTTAACCAACGTTGACGTGGAACAATTTAACCGACGTTGACGTGGAACAATTTAACCAACGTTGACGTGGAACAATTTAACCAACGTTGACGTGGAACAATTTAACCAACGTTGACGTGGAACAATTTAACCGACGTTGACGTGGAACAATTTAACCGACGTTGACGTGGAACAATTTAACCAACGTTGACGTGGAACAATTTAACCAACGTTGACGTGGAACAATTTAACCGACGTTGACGTGGAACAATTTAACCAACGTTGACGTGGAACAATTTAACCGACGTTGACGTGGAACAATTTAACCAACGTTGACGTGGAACAATTTAACCAACGTTGACGTGGAACAATTTAACCAACGTTGACGTGGAACAATTTAACCAACGTTGACGAGGAACAATTTAACCAACGTTGACGTGGAACAATTTAACCAACGTTGACGTGGAACAATTTAACCAACTTTGACGTGGAACAATTTAACCAACGTTGACGAGGAACAATTTAACCAACGTTGACGAGGAACAATTTAACCAACGTTGACGTGGAACAATTTAAACAACGTTGACGTGGAACAATTTAAACAACGTTGACGTGGAACAATTTAAACAACGTTGACGTGGAACAATTTAAACAACGTTGACGTGGAACAATTTAACCAACGTTGACGAGGAACAATTTAACTAACGTTGACGTGGAACAATTTAACCAACGTTGACGTGGAACAATTTAACCAACGTTGACGAGGAACAATTTAACCAACTTTGACGTGGAACAATTTAACCAACGTTGACGAGGAACAATTTAACTAACTTTGACGTGGAACAATTTAACTAACTTTGACGTGGAACAATTTAACCAACTTTGACGTGGAACAATTTAACTAACGTTGACGAGGAACAATTTAACCAACGTTGACGAGGAACAATTTAACCAACGTTGACGAGGAACAATTTAACCAACGTTGACGAGGAACAATTTAACTAACGTTGACGAGGAACAATTTAACCAACGTTGACGTGGAACAATTTAACCAACGTTGACGTGGAACAATTTAACCAACGTTGACGAGGAACAATTTAACCAACTTTGACCAGGATCAATTTAACCAACGTTGATGGGGAACAATTTAACCAACTTTGACCAGGATCAATTTAACCAACAAATTAACCAAACAAAACTTGCTGCCGTATCTCCATGTCAGCATCAAACCAAGCGCTGTGAACATGAATTCATCTTCATTATGAAACTTTAATCACAAATCTCACCCTCACATTAAATAGTCACATTTCAGGGGTGGCCTAAACACCTCTCAATAATCACAACAAGCACCACTGCATGGCAATTAGTGACAAGGACAAATATGCCACCCAAGAGCTGTACAAACTGTTGGGGAAAGTGCCGCTTGCGGCCACTTTACCAAGGCTGGCGGCAGGGCACACGAGGGGGTGGTGTGGCCAGCACCACTCCCGGGCCGCCTTTGTCTCCTCAGCGCCGATGTTCACGCATCACCATAAGTGACTCACTCAAGAAGCGAGTCGACCAAGGGGAGGACCCATGGCCGGCTCAGAAATTCGTCACCGACATCGGCCGTGAGCGGGAATCAAAACTCGGCTCGCCAATCCCTGCGCCACCGCTGCGCCACTCGGTAAAAGCGCTGTCACTGAGCGGGCAGTGACGGGCAGCACTTTCGCTCGGTGGGGAGTGGTGGCCAAGCAAACGACGCATCTTGATGTTGCGACCAGAGCCGCTGTCACTTGCAGCGCAGAAGCGGCTGACGGCAAAAACAAACTGGGATCACGGTGACACCGTGGCCCCCTCAAGGTGTGTCCGATTTCATTTGCGACACTCACGGGTTCTCCCTGGACTCCCTTGGACCCGAGAGGCCCAGTGGCGCCCGTCTTGCCCTGTTAGTGCGAAAAACACACGAGCGCGATCGCAATCGAAGTCACGGGGCACGCGGGATTTGTGTCACGGCGAAGGTGCTCGCTGGGTCATTCTTAACTGGCTTAGATGCTGACCGCGATAGACTTTCGGCACAGTTGCGTACCGCAACGGTGACGTTGGTGCTTAGTCGTGCACACTGTCGTTGTATGCGTGTTGAACTTCCTTCGCACCGTACGTAGCCAACCATGCCAATCGTGCTGCACGCGACGTGTAAGCATGTCGGATGGCACACGCAATCCACTGCTCGATGAGGGCTGCTTTCCACGCTGGTCAGTGCGGGTTGGTGGAGGCAGGGAGCATAGACATTTTGAGGGCATAGTACAGTACAACAATGGATATTGTTACACTGCCCTGCGCTGACAATGTAACCCCGCAGCAGACTATAAGACCCGTTTGAAGTCAATTGTTCACCCATCCAAGCACTATCCAGGCTCAACCTGCTCAGCATTAGCGCAGTTTGGTTTTTGGGAGATGCTGAATCACCGCCGTGTGAATGATTGATTTACTCACGCAGATTGTTGCTATCGACACGCGTGGTGGCCACCACACCCGGTATTCGCCGTGGCAGCTATACCCCCTGGGTAGAACAGCAGCTCACAGCTCAAGCGACGTACCGCACTTTCAAGGGCCCCGCGCTAAACACTTTCAAGCTTTCAATTCCGGTTCTGTGATTCTGCACTTGCTCTGTTACTATAGTACTATACCGCCTTCAATTTTTATGAACGACTGGGTGTTTAAGGTTATCGATTTGTCGCATTATTTGGCTGTATAGCAAATTAAAAAATGCAATTACTTTACTATGCAAGTAAAAAAATGTGTTTGAATATTTATGTGTTTTAATTATTATTTAGGGCCCTTTTATAACATCATGCTACAGTCACCGCACTAGCTTAATCCGGCACTGCATCACACCCTCTCAATCCACACACAATTTCGAAAGCGCCGTTTGTTGCGGGCTGCTTGACGTTTCGGGCCTTTGGGCCCTGTGCTCAGCAACCGTGTTCAACTAATAATAATAAAAAACATCTTACCGGCTCTCCGCGGAGGCCTGGAGGGCCCTGCGGCCCCGGGGGACCCGGGTCACCCTGTCACCAGCGGGAAGTCGGGGAGAGAAATGGGCATCGTAAATCTTCCCCATAACCGAGGGCACCGTGCGTGCCCCACCAACTCGCGCACCGTGCCACGCCACGCTCGACCGCGCCAGCGCCGACGTCCGTCAACCGCGCCACGAGCACCACGGCAGGAGCAGCCTGCGTTTTGTTTCGGGGACGCGCGAGCTGTAGGGAAGTTAAACGCTTCTTCGCGCTGTTCGAAGCAGAATTGTGCGCACGCGCGCAGCCTCCTTGACGATCCATGGCTGGGGCAGGCGTGAATCGTTAACCATCATAAAAAAAAGATAACAGGTGAATGAGAGTTTAATAAACATACTAACGTCAGTTGAGTCCACAAACGTTGCGTGTGTATTATGTCACATCTCTGTGGAACATCCTCCCATATATTTCCCCCTAAGTTGCTGCAATAATAATGATAATAACTGACAACTCATGCACAGCCTCCTCGTCGATGCACGGCTGGGCTAGGGATGAATCGTATACCGTCATGAAAAATAACAAATGAATAAGAGTTTACCCATCGTTCCAAATGCCCCGCCGGGAGATCGAACCGGCGACCTCTGGACTGCAAGTCCAGCGCGCAAACAATTAAGACCGCGGCAGCATCCTATTTGAGTAAGTGTGTCAAAATCTGGAATTGGGAAAAACAGCCGGTAACCTGACGAAATAGATGGACAATGTCTCCTGGGAGTGAATGCATGGCAATGCGGTTACTGGGCTGGCGATGCGGGTTTTACCGGCGCTCCGTTGGGGCCCTCTCGTCCGGGCTGTCCACTCGTGCCCTGTTCGCCCTGCAGCAAAACAAGACACTCGTCATCGGCGCCGGGGAAGCGTTGCACTTCACGGCGAATTATTTTGAAAAAAAAAAAGACCCGACATCAAATGAAACGTTGTTTGGCGTGATGGTGCAACGAAAGCGAGCTGCCAAATTCGGTTCTTCAAGAAGCTCCCAGCCACTTTGGGGGGGGGGGGGGGGGCGCAAACGTCGTGCATTGGCACAACCCAAACAAAAAAAACATCACCCCCATAGTAGGAATGTGGAATTCCCATCGCATCTGATGGAAACGAGCGTTGCCTCATTTCTCGTTGAGCAAGGAGGCCTCTGACTTTTTAAACGCAGTAATAATAATGATAAAAAAGGAATGTCCAAGCAATAGCACAGCCTAAAAGAAACCACTACGCATGAACCATCGAGCGAATCTCTGAGCAAATGAGAACACACCACGAACGCCACAATGTTCCATCGGAAGGGAAAATAAATAATGACTCACGCGCAGGCCGGGTGGCCCGACTAGGCCCTTGTGACCTTTGAAGCCCTGTGATTCACACACACACACACAGACGCACACGCACACACACGCACGCATATGTACGCACACACACGCAGGCACACAGACACACAAATGAGCTCCAGGGTACGTCATGGATATTACTTCATGCTGTGTTGCACTGCGCCGAATGACATTGACTGAATAAATAAAAAATAATATATCGTATAAAATTGGAATCAGGCGTTAGGATCCTCAGGATGAAAGAGCGTTGCCCCAGGGTTAAAGATGCAAACGTCGCAGGAGAGCACAAGGCTGCAACGCAATGTGTGTGTGAATAAACTGTGGCTCATTACCACCACCACCACCGCGGAGAGGTATCGTACATTATACGACACAAGAATCACGACAATCGTATTGTCAATTTGGTGAAATATCGGTGTCAATTAATGATCGTAGCTCAATGAATTTCTACAAAATATTTTTTACAAAATAACAATAAACACTCACAAAAATAATGAAAAGTTTAGTGGAGACAATAATACCTATAACCCATTACATTAGTGGAGTGTGTAAATAATTTTCTTGAGCAATTGGTGGAATGTTGACTCAATGACACAATGGTTTTCTGACAGCGTGTGCATTATGATCAACATTGATTGTAAAGTTACAATGATGAGAAAACTGATGACAGCCTTACATTGAGTGAAATGCAGTTGAATAACTAGTAAGCAATCCTTATTCATATTTGAAGCGTATCACAGTACAAAAACAAGACGATAGAATGTTGAGGTACAATTACAAAGTTACATGAAACTGATATCGTGAAAATTATCACATCGTGAAATATATATTGGATCGTGAAAAAACAATATCACATAATCCGTACCACGCACACATTTCAAAGTTTATTTCTCAGACTATGTGTGCAGAGAGGTGATTAAGCAGCTTTTCCAGGCTTGAGGGGCAAAAAAGCTGTTTATGCATAGTTATGAACCTCTGAAGTTCCCGTAATTGACGTATAAAACATGTGCGCAAATATGAAGGTCATCTATTGAAAGGCAACAAAGACGAAATAGAAATGGCAAGCGACTCACGGGAAACCCACGTGCTCCTGGCTTTCCGGCTGCTCCAGGTTCTCCTGGGCTGCCCTAAAATTTGTGCCAATAAAAGCAACCGTTTTGAAAATTAGTGTAATCACAATCAGGCACACAACACAATTACGTGGAATGGCAGCCACTCGCCAGCGTTATTAAACTTGCTCGAGTTATTATTTTAATGATGCTAATGGTTCCCAACAGGCATCCCAATTTCCAGTGAAGTAGCACTCCTTTGCAAATGGCCTTCATTAAGTCGGTGGAGGAATTTTTTTGTCCGTGACCACCGTTACTCTGTGAGAGTGTGACACTTCACCGAATCTCCAGTTGCAGCAAATTTTCTCACAGCCACGGAGTTTCTGTTGTTGCCTCTGGGCAGGTAGGTCCGGGATGACCGTGTGAATGGGTTCTGCAGGCTGAACGAGTCATCCAGAGGTCACCGATGCAATCTCTCGGGCTAGATGGTTTAAATAAATTTTGTTCATCTACCCAGCAGCATGAATGGGTGAAACAGCTTCTGAACAATAAGCTAATAGCTCAGTGGGCTTTACCTGGTAAGATAAAATAGTAAAATTGTATTTGTATATATGAAAGTGATTTGTTTACCTTTCATATACTTTGCAATCCTATCGCGTTTTTATATTATTTGTTGTTGCAACGTTCTGATCTGCCCCTTCTGGACATCTGTGAAAAATAGTTTTATAGCTCATCGGATTCCTCCAATATAATGAAATATTCAGATTCTGAATTGATCGGCATTTGGTGGGGTAAAGTGTGGGTACGCCCACCTCTGTCAAGATGCCTGACCAGTGTGGAAGAGGTCAATGACCCTTTTGTAGGGACCATGCACAGCTCTCTCTAGTGGAGGCTATTTCTCCAGCAGTGTCGTGAACAAGTAATTAAACGAGAAATGATGAACTATTTTTTTTTTATTTTACTAGGTAAGGCCCACTGAGATAAAAAGCTATTTTTCAGAAGCGACCTGGCCACAAATGATAGCTCAACGAAGTGGCTTATCACGTGGAAATGTATAGCAGCCAAATACTCTAAACGCATGTGGCTCTAAATGTGGAGGGAAAAACCAGAGGACCCGGAGAAAAATCCACGCGACCAAAATACAAATATACAGCAGCAGGCATCAGGGTCAGAATGGAACCCACGACCTCCTGCATACCAGGCGACCTAGTTAACAACTCAAATCAAACCGACGGACTTCCGGATTGCGAGTCGAGCATGCAAACTTTTACGCCATGGCAGCATCCGCTCATTCCGTAAAGGAGATACGAAAAAATAACGAGATTAAACTTGCCGCTTCGCCCAGAGCTCCGTTCCTGCCATTCTCTCCCTCCAGTCCGGGTGGGCCCTGTCAGGAAACATCAGCAGCCACACCACACAACACACACACACAACACACACACACAACACACACACAACACACACAACACACGCACAACACACACACACAACACACACACAACACACACACACAACACACACACAACACACACACAACACACACACACACGTGTACGGGGCGGACCACGAGTCCCCACTCTCCAAGCCGAGAGGCCAGGCCCTCACCTACCTTGCCCCAAACCCGTACCCGCGCGGCAAATTTTCCGAAGCTTCCAGCGGTTGAACATTCGCAGCAAAGTGTGAAAAATTGATGATTGCAGCAGCCAGTGGGAGACCTCCAGCCGATGACATTGACATCCGACTTATCTTTTCATTTGTTATTTCTAGAGTTACCGAATTATTCATTTATTTGTGAGGTTTTTGCTGTTGTCATTGTGTTAAATGTACAATGAATGTACCCATCGGGCCGGAGCATGCGAATGTCGACCCAGGGCACGCAATTGCGCGTCTTATCGAGTGCGAGCCATCGCTCAGTAGGCACGCGCGGCGCTGAAGCAAATGTCAGACGCGCTCCTAATTTGGCGACGTCCGCTGTGAATGGAACTAAGAGCTGAGATTATCTTACAGGGATGCCTGGAAGACCTTGAGACCCCATCATTCCAGGGGAACCGTCTTTTCCCTTGAGGGGGAGGGGAGGGGATAAAGAAGAAATAGCAGACGAATTAATACCTACGTGTGATACGCGAGTGTTGTAAACAGCCATTTCAGGGCGGGTGAATTTTGCATAAATAGAGCGACACGAATTTTTATGCATGCTTCCGTTGATGTTAAATAGTTAAAACAGATTAAAAGAAGATGGAAAAAGAAAAGGCTTCAAATTTGCCCTTTCTGGCAATAATACAGGTGTTAAGATGTTCAAACACTAATTATATAACCTATTACAAGGCATTAAGTCTGCATTGATGTATTCGTTGAATTTCTTTCGCACATATCGTAGCCAACTTTGCGAGTCAGGAGGTGTGGGGAAGGACAACACATACTTGTGGTAAAACGTACAAACAAATATGATTTCATCGTGTAAGCATTGTCCTTGAAACTGATCTGCCTCCACCAGAAACAGCCTCTTTCAATGGCTTTGTGTCACCAGTGCTAGAACAACGAATGCCAACAGGCGAACACACGCTCACGTGGTCGTGGCTAAGTCAGCGTTGCGGATTTTTACACGAACGCATCGCCGGATAAACACGTGCGCCTTTTGATGAAAAGTTGTCCCGAAATGCATCATTCGTACAATGAAGCCGTTCTATGCACACGGCGGCTTGGACTGCGCGGTTGAAAACGTTGGCAACGTGTGCAAACGTCCGCTTAGGGTTCACGCTATCTGGGGAATACGAGTGATCCTTCAGTGGCGCACAACAACAGAAGGATTCAAACAAGCACAGCCCGAGATTCTGGAGAACACCCTGGGAGCCCCTCGAGGCTCAATACGAAGCGTGTCGCTCACGCCACGGCCAAAGAAGTCCAATAAACATACTCACGGTACAATCTTCACCCTAGCCAGTGTTAGCGGGTAAAGGTTTTACCATGGGGAGGGGTAGAGCAGTGGTCGGAGTGCTGCGCTATGAAGCCGGCGAGCCGAGTTCGATGACCAATAACAGTGGGGGATGTAAGGAACCGGTCCAGGCCCTCATCTAGGTCGACTCAGCCTCAAATGAATAACCGGTGCAGTGTGCAAGCATCAGCACTGGGGAGGCAAAGGAGGCCGGGCGTGGTGCTGGCCACCCACTTCCTTCGTGTGCCGTGCCGGCCTTCATAGGTGCTACTCGCTAACAGCACTTGTCTCAGCAGCCTGTTAAAGGCTACACGGGGAATCTTTGCATTGTTGTATGAATCTATCTAAAACTTAAACTTTTGAACGGCGGATGCCACCTTGATAGGCACCCTGCATTCTACAACGAGAACAACAGCGAGACATCTGACCTTCTCTCCCGGTAATCCGGCGTGTCCCGGTGCTCCAGAGTCTCCTTTCAATCCCTGCAACAACAAACCCAAAATACTCTCCCTGTCAGTCGCTCTTTTACACGTGGCAAAAAGAAAAAAAAGTGTACGTCTTGAGAGATCACAAAACCACGGTTATTTTTCCACGCAGCAAATGCTCTTCCTGCTCAGGCGGGAGAGGCGGCGGATTCGCGGCCGAGATCTAAAACCGGAGGGCGCCCCGGTGATCCGGCAAACCCGCGCGCGACGAACGCTAACACCGCAGCGACACAAAAAAATCACGGAAACGTTCACTCACCGGCGGGCCGGAGAGGCCGGGCGGACCTGGGTAGCCCGGTACGCCCGGCGAACCCTGGAAACAACACGAGAGCGCGCGTCCCTCGGTTAAGTGCACGGCGCTTTCGGACCGCCGGAAAGACAACACGGCGCCGAGGTGCGGTTCGTGCTCGCGGGCTCGCAGGTGGTCGGAGCTCCTACCATGTCTCCCTTCTCGCCCGCCGTTCCCGAATATCCACGTTCGCCTTTCATCCCCTAGAGCGGCGGGGAGGGGGGGGGTGAGACAACAACGGTGGATGGAGAGGGCCGCGAGGCGGTGTCGCGCGCCGGCTCTCCGTCCTGTGTTTTTATTTATAGTCGCGCCGCGGGGCCGCCCGTCCGCCCGCCCGCCACGATGTCTGTCCGACGTTTCGCTCCGCGTGCCGGGGGGAGCTCTTCCTCGGGGCCGCTCAACTCGGTTGCGTGCAAGTCGGCACGCGGAGGGAAACGTGGAACGTGAGGACGGGGACGCTGAACAGCGCCCGGCGGCACAACCGGATAAAAAACACTGGAGACATACACGGCACAACCGCCAAAAGTTACGGGGTATCACAATTATTACATTGATATTCGAAAATCTTTCTTTTTTCATCCAAATAAAAATTAGTCTCACAAAAAGCACGATCTTATTTATTGACTTCATTATCTACTCATTCGTTCACTCACGCATTATTTAACTTTTGCGAGTTCATTGCTTTTGTTCAGTGATACAACTACCCTCTCACTCTCTCTCTCTCTCTGTACCATGCCCTTTCTCAAAAGATGTCGGCGATAATGGGCTCCTTCGAATCGTGGCTCTGCCAACGATATCGCGCAAGAATCTCCCAGTAACGAGAAAATCCCGCGGATCATCCCAGCAAGGTGGGGTGCCCTGGAGCCGCAGCGGTTAACATGTTGCAGAAAGAAACCCGGAGACTTGAGCTCGATTGCCAGTCACGGCTACCGTGAGTGGCGACTGATATCTGAAGCAGTCCTGGGCCCCAAACCTTCACCGTTCTACAGCGACCAGCACGATTGACGGAGGGCTGTAAGTTATTACTATTTGAAAGTAACAAACTATTAAACATGGGGCACCAACTAAGACTGCAGGGTAAATTCGGTCCCAAAATAAACATATCCTGCAATGAACCAGCCAAGTTTATCCCTCTCTAACCTGCACCCCATTGGGGACTCAATCGCATTTTAGGACTGGGTTTTACAGGCAGCAGTTGTGAAGGGATGAGGGCTGAAACCCATGAATGCCACTGCACCAGGGAAGGCCTTGCACGAGGCGCAAGCCTGTCAATCGGTATGGCACCAGTCACTCGCTCATTCACTCATTGTCTGGGCCACTGAGGCAGTGAAAGTCCACGTGTCCGAACGAGAGCGCAACAAGACGGCTCTGTTGCTACGGCGCTTTATTTGCATGCGGTTGTTCGTACCGGCAAACTGGGAGGGCCAGAAACTCCTTGGTCACTCGCTCATTCACACGAGGCGCAAGCCTGTCAATCGGTATGGCACAAGTCACTCGCTCATTCACTCATTGTCTGGGCCACTGAGGCAGTGAAAGTCCACGTGTCCGAAACGAGAGCGCAACAAGACGGCTCTGTTGCTACGGCGCTTTATTTGCATGCGGTTGTTCGTACCGGCAAACCGGGAGGGCCAGAAACTCCTTGGTCTCCTCTCTCGCCAGCAGCACCCTAGAGCATTCAAACACACGGCTCTTAAGTCCCATCATGTATAATGGATGGCACTCACACCTCAGGCAGGGAGAAAAGTGGGAAGCGATGATGCTGACGGAGCACTCAAGAGTTCAGTGCGTAGGGGGGTGACCATCGTGAAGGGCTCGGCAGAGGAGCACCGAGTGTGGGGATCCATAGTTAAAGTGTAGGCACTCGCATATACCGGGCCAGCCCGCAAGCACTCCACTCCGCCGATTGTAGCGCGTACCGTGGCGAAGCGGAACACAGAGCAAGAGGACACTCGGGTGGAGACTCTTTTAGGAGCCCAATGGCTGAGCCGATGGGTGTCTTTCGGCCTCTTGTAAAAACTAAAACGAAGCCACGTGCAGCGGTGGGCACAAGTGACCACAATTGCCACTGATTGTAGCCAATATGCGTTTCGAGATGATCGCTTGATTGCTCCTGTCGTCAGTTGCATCTACGGATGCTCCCGCAATGAAAAGCTAATGCAACTCGGAGGCCCCTGATGTTCATGAAGCATTCCATTTGTGATAATAACTTATCGCCTTATGCCGCTACCTCTCAAACCGTGCGTCAGCATTGCCAATAGGCACTTATATGGATGCCAGAAATAATTGTGTCCTTGAGGCATTCATGAACAACGTACTTATTCAACAAGGGATGTGACTTGGAGACGGTAATTCTAAAACGACTGAGGCCGGACTGCGTTGATGTGACCACGCACACACGCACCCCTTTGAGCGTTCGCGTCACTTATTTAGCTTTGACTGAATTTATTGTGTGCATTTGCATTAGTAACACCTAGCCGGATCACAACAATATATATTTTATAAGATGGTTTTATTTCCCCCCCACCTACCGTTTATTATGTTTACACTGTCGAGAATACAATCGAGAAATCACGTAAAAAATACACTTTAGACGCCTTGACACCCGTTTCAGATGTTTTTGCACGCACAAACAAAAACTGAAAATGACGACATTTGTTACTTATGAGCTACTTTATTTACGTGATTACGTTTTTAAAAAAAGGGGTTTACTTGAATATCTGTGCACTGCGTTTTGAACCTTCGCGGGCCCGGGCTTGATTCCCAGCCACTGCTAACATCAGTGGCGAGCGATATCTCAACTGGACATGGGTGGCCTCTACTACCAACCAGCCTGACCAGCACGGTGAAGTATGACCACACACCTTCAAAGACCAACGTTGGGGGTGCGCGATACCATCATCCAGCAGTGGATTGACAAAGGACCGCAGACTTACATGGGAACGTGCTATGGAAAGGAACGCCACATTGTCTCTGTTCTGAAGTTCTTAGAAGCGTGCTCGCTTTGAGAAACGCCTCAACTCTTATCTATCACTCATTCCGTAGTGCTGTTTGTTGCTGGCGACTCGGTGTTTTGGGTCTTTGGGCCTGAGCTCACCAATCGCGATTAAAGAAAAAAAACAGACAAAATTAATGGTGAAATTTTACCCAAGGACCTACATGGCACGGGGAGGCGTTCATCCAGCCATTCTGATCGACGGAGGACTAAAACATTGAATGAAAATGTAAGCACTGGAAATGCGCAAGGCGAGCTACGGGTGCGATGCAAGGCAGTCCTGTGGCATGACCTTGCTTCAAAAAGGGGGCAAACAAAAACACGGGAGGGCATGCAAGCAGAGTCGATGTTAAACAACCTTGAAGCAAATGTTAAACGGCGAACAGAAGCGTTGCCGATACGATCAGCGTTCGTCCGTCGCACATCCGGCTCTCGCTCTGACCCCCGTGTATTCGGACATCTGTGTAAAAGAGCTTTGTAGCTCGTCGGATTCCTCCATTATGAGTGAATATTCCGATTCTGATTGCATGTATTCGAGGGGAAGGCTGCGACACCCCATCGCTTCATTGTAACCACGTGAAGATTTTGTTCGGCAGCATGCAAACCCCTTCTTCTTGGTTATTTCGGTAAAGTCACGTAGAAGGGAAATAATAAAAAAAACATAATAAAATACAATTCTCACGACGTTTCGGCCACAACGCAAGCAGCCGTCCTCAGGTGAAGAACAGGGCTGTCGGAAAAACAGCGTCTGAATGATTCTGAATGATTCTGTCGGAAAGACAGCGTCTGAATGATTCTTAATGATTCAGATGCTGTCTTTCCGACAGCCCTGTTCTTCACCTGAGGACGGCTGCTTGCATTGTGGCCAAAACATCGTGAGAATTGTATTTTATTATGTTTCATTTTTATTATTTTATTATTCCCTTCTACGTGACCTTACCGAAAGAACCAAGGAGATGAATCCCTGCAGTCACGAAAGCTTTAAATCGAAGCATGCAAACCATTGGGGGCAGTTTGTACATCGAATGAAGCTCGCAAATTACGGAGAAAACCCACCACTGCTATTACATGGATTTAGTAGGGGGGCTGAGCTGAGGGGGTGGTGGCAGGAGGGGGTGGTGGTCCTGATATGTGATATGTCCAGTTTTTGTAAACAGGGAGGAGGGCGGGTGGGGTCCTATTGGCAGGGGACAAAGTGCAGGGACGAGATCGAGGCAGGCGGCGCTGCGAGAGGTTAGCAGCTGAGGGGGAGGGGCGGAGTTGGGGGGGGAGGGGGTACCTTGTTGCCGTCACGGCCGCTGGGCCCTGCTGTGCCCGCGTGGCCTTTGTCTCCCTTGAGGCCGGGCAGCCCGGGGAAGCCCGGGGGCCCCGGGGGACAGTCGTTGCACGCGTCCTGGCAAGACGCGGCAAGAGTTAGGAGGTCCGGGAGACTTTAGGGCTGCGCGGTTGCGAGGTATTGCTTTGTTGACGGTGCTTAAGAAGCACAAATAACAACAACAACTCAGCACATTTGTCAAGGATACTGCCATAAGATGGAAATGTTATACAATACAACAAGCGGAATATTGGGCAACGGTCCCTCCTCATGGCTCCTCTGCAATAAAGATGGGCAAATGCCTGACATGTCATCTATTGTATGCGTTAGTTCTCTTTGCGGCAGTGTGTTTGACGAATGTGTGGAGTTTTCACAAATAAATCCTTCATTAGGTGGCTGGGTGGCACAGAGGTCAAAGCAATCAGTCAGCATTGCTGACACGGTGGGTTTGAATCTAGGTTGTAGCCACCCGTGGTTAAACTTGGTCTTTAACTCTGGTGAGTTGATGGCCTTAGCCCCGCCACCAAATAATGTACAAAAAACCCATCACATTCACCGATTTTAAAAAAAATAAATGAAAGCACTGATAATAAAAAAAAACATTGGTTTGACTGCAATGCAACAAATGTTACTTTTAATCAGTGCGTGGGTAAAAATGGGCACTGCAAGGAGCTGTTGTGTGGGTAAAAATGGGCACTGCAAGGAGCTGTTGTGTGGGTAAAAATGGGCACTGCAAGGAGCTGTTGCGTGGGTAAAAATGGGCACTGCAAGGAGCTGTTGTGTGGGTAAAAATGGGCACTGCAAGGAGCTGTTGCGTGGGTAAAAATGGGCACTGCAAGGAGCTGTTGTGTGGGTAAAAATGGGCACTGCAAGGAGCTGTTGTGTGGGTAAAAATGGGCACTGCAAGGAGCTGTTGCGTGGGTAAAAATGGGCACTGCAAGGAGCTGTTGTGTGGGTAAAAATGGGCACTGCAAGGAGCTGTTGCGTGGGTAAAAATGGGCACTGCAAGGAGCTGTTGTGTGGGTAAAAATGGGCACTGCAAGGAGCTGTTGCGTGGGTAAAAATGGGCACTGCAAGGAGCTGTTGTGTGGGTAAAAATGGGCACTGCAAGGAGCTGTTGTGTGGGTAAAAATGGGCACTGCAAGGAGCTGTTGCGTGGGTAAAAATGGGCACTGCAAGGAGCTGTTGTGTGGGTAAAAATGGGCACTGCAAGGAGCTGTTGCGTGGGTAAAAATGGGCACTGCAAGGAGCTGTTGTGTGGGTAAAAATGGGCACTGCAAGGAGCTGTTGCGTGGGTAAAAATGGGCACTGCAAGGAGCTGTTGTGTGGGTAAAAATGGGCACTGCAAGGAGCTGTTGTGTGGGTAAAAATGGGCACTGCAAGGAGCTGTTGCGTGGGTAAAAATGGGCACTGCAAGGAGCTGTTGTGTGGGTAAAAATGGGCACTGCAAGGAGCTGTTGTGTGGGTAAAAATGGGCACTGCAAGGAGCTGTTGTGTGGGTAAAAATGGGCACAGCAAGGAGCTGTTGCTTGGGTAAAAATGGGCACTACAAGGAGCTGTTGCGTGGGTAAAAATGGGCACTACAAGGAGCTGTTGTGTGGGTAAAAATGGACACAGCAAGGAGCTGTTGCTTGGGTAAAAATGGGCACTGCAAGGAGCTGTTGCGTGGGTAAAAATGGGCACTGCAAGGAGCTGTTGCTTGGGTAAAAATGGGCACTGCAAGGAGCTGTTGCGTGGGTAAAAATGGGCACTGCAAGGAGCTGTTGCTTGGGTAAAAATGGGCACTGCAAGGAGCTGTTGTGTGGGTAAAAATGGGCACTGCAAGGAGCTGTTGCTTGGGTAAAAATGGGCACTGCAAGGAGCTGTTGCGTGGGTAAAAATGGGCACTGCAAGGAGCTGTTGCTTGGGTAAAAATGGGCACTGCAAGGAGCTGTTGTGTGGGTAAAAATGGGCACTGCAAGGAGCTGTTGCTTGGGTAAAAATGGGCACTGCAAGGAGCTGTTGCGTGGGTAAAAATGGGCACTGCAAGGAGCTGTTGCTTGGGTAAAAATGGGCACTGCAAGGAGCTGTTGTGTGGGTAAAAATGGGCACTGCAAGGAGCTGTTGTGTGGGTAAAAATGGGCACTGCAAGGAGCTGTTGTGTGGGTAAAAATGGGCACTGCAAGGAGCTGTTGTGTGGGTAAAAATGGGCACTGCAAGGAGCTGTTGTGTGGGTAAAAATGGGCACTGCAAGGAGCTGTTGTGTGGGTAAAAATGGGCACTGCAAGGAGCTGTTGTGTGGGTAAAAATGGGCACTGCAAGGAGCTGTTGTGTGGGTAAAAATGGGCACTGCAAGGAGCTGTTGTGTGGGTAAAAATGGGCACTGCAAGGAGCTGTTGTGTGGGTAAAAATGGGCACTGCAAGGAGCTGTTGTGTGGGTAAAAATGGGCACTGCAAGGAGCTGTTGTGTGGGTAAAAATGGGCACTGCAAGGAGCTGTTGTGTGGGTAAAAATGGGCACTGCAAGGAGCTGTTGTGTGGGTAAAAATGGGCACTGCAAGGAGCTGTTGTGTGGGTAAAAATGGGCACTGCAAGGAGCTGTTGTGTGGGTAAAAATGGGCACTGCAAGGAGCTGTTGTGTGGGTAAAAATGGGCACTGCAAGGAGCTGTTGTGTGGGTAAAAATGGACACAGCAAGGAGCTGTTGTGTGGGTAAAAATGGGCACAGCAAGGAGCTGTTGTGTGGGTAAAAATGGGCACAGCAAGGAGCTGTTGTGTGGGTAAAAATGGGCACTGCAAGGAGCTGTTGTGTGGGTAAAATGGACACAGCAAGGAGCTGTTGTGTGGGTAAAAATGGACACAGCAAGGAGCTGTTGTGTGGGTAAAAATGGGCACAGCAAGGAGCTGTTGTGTGGGTAAAAATGGGCACAGCAAGGAGCTGTTGTGTGGGTAAAAATGGACACAGCAAGGAGCTGTTGTGTGGGTAAAAATGGACACAGCAAGGAGCTGTTGTGTGGGTAAAAATGGGCACAGCAAGGAGCTGTTGTGTGGGTAAAAATGGGCACAGCAAGGAGCTGTTGTGTGGGTAAAAATGGGCACTGCAAGGAGCTGTTGTGTGGGTAAAAATGGGCACAGCAAGGAGCTGTTGTGTGGGTAAAAATGGGCACTGCAAGGAGCTGTTGTGTGGGTAAAAATGGACACAGCAAGGAGCTGTTGTGTGGGTAAAAATGGGCACTGCAAGGAGCTGTTGTGTGGGTAAAAATGGGCACAGCAAGGAGCTGTTGTGTGGGTAAAAATGGGCACAGCAAGGAGCTGTTGTGTGGGTAAAAATGGGCACTGCAAGGAGCTGTTGTGTGGGTAAAAATGGGCACTGCAAGGAGCTGTTGTGTGGGTAAAAATGGGCACAGCAAGGAGCTGTTGTGTGGGTAAAAATGGGCACAGCAAGGAGCTGTTGTGTGGGTAAAAATGGGCACAGCAAGGAGCTGTTGTGTGGGTAAAAATGGGCACTGCAAGGAGCTGTTGTGTGGGTAAAAATGGGCACTGCAAGGAGCTGTTGTGTGGGTAAAAATGGGCACTGCAAGGAGCTGTTGTGTGGGTAAAAATGGGCACTGCAAGGAGCTGTTGTGTGGGTAAAAATGGGCACTGCAAGGAGCTGTTGTGTGGGTAAAAATGGGCACTGCAAGGAGCTGTTGTGTGGGTAAAAATGGGCACTGCAAGGAGCTGTTGTGTGGGTAAAAATGGGCACTGCAAGGAGCTGTTGTGTGGGTAAAAATGGGCACTGCAAGGAGCTGTTGTGTGGGTAAAAATGGACACAGCAAGGAGCTGTTGTGTGGGTAAAAATGGGCACTGCAAGGAGCTGTTGTGTGGGTAAAAATGGGCACTGCAAGGAGCTGTTGCTTGGGTAAAAATGGGCACTGCAAGGAGCTGTTGCTTGGGTAAAAATGGGCACTGCAAGGAGCTGTTGTGTGGGTAAAAATGGGCACTGCAAGGAGCTGTTGTGTGGGTAAAAATGGGCACTGCAAGGAGCTGTTGTGTGGGTAAAAATGGGCACTGCAAGGAGCTGTTGTGTGGGTAAAAATGGGCACTGCAAGGAGCTGTTGTGTGGGTAAAAATGGGCACTGCAAGGAGCTGTTGTGTGGGTAAAAATGGGCACTGCAAGGAGCTGTTGTGTGGGTAAAAATGGACACTGCAAGGAGCTGTTGTGTGGGTAAAAATGGGCACTGCAAGGAGCTGTTGTGTGGGTAAAAATGGGCACTGCAAGGAGCTGTTGTGTGGTTAAAAATGGTCACTGCAAGGAGCTGTTGTGTGGTTAAAAATGGTCACTGCAAGGAGCTGTTGTGTGGTTAAAAATGGGCACAGCAAGGAGCTGTTGTGTGGTTAAAAATGGTCACTGCAAGGAGCTGTTGTGTGGTTAAAAATGGTCACTGCAAGGAGCTGTTGTGTGGTTAAAAATGGGCACAGCAAGGAGCTGTTGTGTGGTTAAAAATGGGCACAGCAAGGAGCTGTTGTGTGGTAAAAATGGACACAGCAAGGAGCTGTTGTGTGGTTAAAAATGGGCACAGCAAGGAGCTGTTGTGTGGTAAAAATGGACACAGCAAGGAGCTGTTGTGTGGTTAAAAATGGACACTGCAAGGAGCTGTTGCGTGGTTAAAAATGGGCACTGCAAGGAGCTGTTGCGTGGTTAAAAATGGACACTGCAAGGAGCTGTTGCGTGGTTAAAAATGGGCACTGCAAGGAGCTGTTGTGTGGTTAAAAATGGACACTGCAAGGAGCTGTTGCGTGGTTAAAAATGGACACTGCAAGGAGCTGTTGCGTGGTTAAAAATGGACACTGCAAGGAGCTGTTGTGTGGTTAAAAATGGACACTGCAAGGAGCTGTTGTGTGGTTAAAAATGGACACTGCAAGGAGCTGTTGTGTGGTTAAAAATGGACACTGCAAGGAGCTGTTGCGTGGTTAAAAATGGACACTGCAAGGAGCTGTTGCGTGGTTAAAAATGGACACTGGATGGAGCTGTTGTGTGGTTAAAAATGGTCACTGCAAGGAGCTGTTGTGTGGTTAAAAATGGACACTGGATGGAGCTGTTGCGTGGTTAAAAATGGTCACTGCAAGGAGCTGTTGCGTGGTTAAAAATGGTCACTGCAAGGAGCTGTTGCGTGGTTAAAAATGGACACTGGATGGAGCTGTTGCGTGGTTAAAAATGGTCACTGCAAGGAGCTGTTGCGTGGTTAAAAATGGACACTGGATGGAGCTGTTGCGTGGTTAAAAATGGTCACTGCAAGGAGCTGTTGCGTGGTTAAAAATGGTCACTGCAAGGAGCTGTTGTGTGGTTAAAAATGGACACTGCAAGGAGCTGTTGCGTGGTTAAAAATGGACACTGCAAGGAGCTGTTGTGTGGTTAAAAATGGACACTGCAAGGAGCTGTTGTGTGGTTAAAAATGGACACTGCAAGGAGCTGTTGTGTGGTTAAAAATGGACACTGCAAGGAGCTGTTGTGTGGTTAAAAATGGACACTGCAAGGAGCTGTTGTGTGGTTAAAAATGGACACTGGATGGAGCTGTTGTGTGGTTAAAAATGGACACTGCAAGGAGCTGTTGTGTGGTTAAAAATGGACACTGCAAGGAGCTGTTGCGTGGTTAAAAATGGACACTGGATGGAGCTGTTGTGTGGTTAAAAATGGTCACTGCAAGGAGCTGTTGTGTGGTTAAAAATGGACACTGGAAGGAGCTGTTGCGTGGTTAAAAATGGACACTGGATGGAGCTGTTGTGTGGTTAAAAATGGGCACTGGAAGGTTCTATGACGAGGTTCTGTGAAATATCTGCTTCTGCGCATCGGTATCACGCAGGGTACTACGCTTCCCTGCAAGAGTATGACATAATTAAAGCGTGCAAGAAGATAATAAGGTCACGTCTGTACATTTCACGGAACACATGTAAGGGTGTGACACCACACTGAGAAAGGTTTCTGGAATTGTCTTATATCTGACGTTAGGATCTAATGTGTGTCGCTTGTAATGTCACCGTGCTGCTGGCTAAGGAAACATCACTCTGCATCAATTTATCCGGCGGTTTCCTTGGCAGCTCGGAGAAGCTGTGCACAGATTAAACGGGAGAAAAACCACTCCGTCGGCGTAGTTTTCAGTGCTAAATGAGAGAAATTAAAGGCGCATCACGTCAAGCGATTGTAAAAACGACGGCAAGCGCCAACATTTAAATTCCACCTGCAGCACCTTGCCCTCTCCATAACATTTCCAATTCACTTGAACCAAAAACAAATGGGCTCGTATTTCCACACACTCTAATAATGCCGCGCAACTTGCCGGACTTTTTTTCACGCATAGTCTTGAGATTCAGTCGCATTCGAACTGAGCTGTGAACTCAAACCGCATTGCATTTGCGACGGATTAAATGCAAGTGTCTGTCCCGAGAGCGCACGACCAACGTGGTTCGCTTTCTCGTGAGCAGCTTCCCCCGCAGGTGGTTTACCTTCAGGAAGTTGGTGATGTCTTTCGGGTACAACAGTGGATGTGGATGCTGGACACGAGATGTAATTCCATTAGTAAAGGGGGGCGGGGAGGATGGAAAAGCAACAAAGTAAATTGCGTGAGTGCCATTGCTTCATCAAGGCTCACAAGCTCCCACACTATAAATCACATTTCAGAAAGTACTGCCACATTAATGAGATTAATCCGGAAAAAGTAAATTACACGATTTAATATTTCATCTGTTTAGATTGAATTATCTCCGAGCCATCAAAGTGCATACGCCCTGGTGAGTCTGCTGCTCTGCCGTTTGAACTGGCGGTGATTAATAACCCGCGCGTGGTTCTGGGCGGCGGGCACACTTCCGTTGACAAATTAAGAGAATACCTACTGCCTCTCCTGGTGGGCCGGGGGGGCCCGGAATGCCATCCTTTCCTGCGGGACCCTGTAAAACACGGACACAATGTTTGTGACGTAAGCCAGTCCTCATAGCAACAGCCATCCTCGCATTCATATGCATTGCGAATGGACAGGTTTTTGTTGTTTTTGTTGTTGTATGATCACGCTTGTGCAGCAAGGAATGCCCCAACCGCGTCTCTTGAGTCATTTTCAGGAGGGTTATGCCACGTGTTCGCCAGGAGGGGGCGATACTTGCTTCATGTAATCCCTAATTGAGTCCTACGGCACTTCGTGTTCATGTTTTCGGATTGTTCAACGTGACTTTAGCTGTGTCGGGCGATGGAGAGTTTACAATACACGCTTTGTTCACGCGATCTGACTCAAAACATCAATTATGTAACATTCCTTTCGTTTTTTGTAACTGATTAAAACAATTTAACTATAAAGAAAAATTTCAATGCTCGGAAACATGCCGATGCTTAGCGATTAATAACATAATCAGCTTTGGCCGCTTTTCGTCTTCACACAAAGTTGAGAGGTTTGCAGTTGTGAGAGGTTTGCAGTTGTATTTAGCCACTTCATTACCCCAGCTTGCAATCGTATTGTTAAAGGTAATGGTGCAGCCCTGCGATTGCTTGCTGATGCCACTGCTAACAGAACGACTTCAATTCGACAGTTTTATAGAGAGGCGAGAGATTATGTGGCTATTTGAGCCACGATGGCCAGGGGTCTCAGAAGGGGCAGCAAAAGCTACACTTTACCCCGCCACACACGATCCGCCGAAAGACTTTGGTCGTACTTATTTACACGGCAGGGTGGACAGAGGTGGAGGTGGATTCATGAAATGCCGGAAAGACGAACCGGCGGACTCTGGATCGCAAGCCCAGCGTGCTAACCGTTATTACACCCCACAACGTTCCGCCGCAAATTAGACGCAGTCGCACAAAGTTGGTGAGTTGCGAGCGGTCAATCCAACGTAAACTTTTAGGAACTCGTACGAGGGGTTAGGGTACAATGTTTGCCGAGTATTGCAGCGAAACTGATAACGGAATGGTCATCCACACCAGTCGGGCGGTAATAAATAGTTCGGAGCGCCAAATATTAAAAGAAGCACCTACAGCAGTGGTTCTTAACTTGATTGGAAGCTTTCGTGACTGCAGGAATCCATACTTTCTGGTTCTTTCGGTAAAGTCACGCAGGTAGAAAAAATAATTAAAGAAAACACGACGTTTCGGTCGCAACACAAGCGGCTGCGTTCCGGTGAGAAAAAACTATCTGCTGTTGTAGCTTTATATCAGCACGGGAGGGGAGGGGACGGAGGAGTTTGGCTGTTCGACAGCGAGCGGCCCGGCTCCCCGGCCGAACTGCGCACCGGCTGGGTCTCGGAATTGCACTCTGGGCGGGCGGAGAGCGCGAGCCAATTTCTACACGCGGTCACTGCGACCCCAAGCAGGGACGCTTCAAAAGGCCGAGGGCTTAACCCCAACGTGATGGGCCATCGGCATCTTTTTTTTCACGGTCACGACCGGGTCGCCGAGGGCTACGTTTAAACGGCCACGCTCCTTAGGCGGCAAAATTAGCGTCATAATTTCGGCGTAATGGGGGCCAACAAGAGCGGTGCCCCCCCCTGCCCCCCCCCCCTCCACGGCTTAGGTCGTGACAAACAAGGCAAGGCCAGCCTGATGGAAAAAAAAATACATTTAAAACGTGGCGGCTTGGCTCGTGGTGGTTGTGGTGGTGTGACGCGTGACCCCTCCCCCACTCCCCCGAGAGACATTTTCCCCATGGGTGCGTCGCTGATGAGGCGTTGTGCCCTTGCACGGTCCCAGTTAGCGCTGGGAAATCGTGTCCTCCCTCCCACTCACGTCGAGGCCTGCCATCCCTGGAGAGCCCGCAACTCCCGGCGGGCCTCTCTGTCCCTGAAGGAACAGAAATGGTTGTCCAGTTATTGCGGTCAACGGAGCTGGTAAAACGTACGCGCGCGTCGATCAGTTTCACGGGAAAAAAAAGAAAAAAAAAACCCATCAAGTAATTCCTGCGCAAGATTGATCGTCGTATTTTTTGTTGTTGATGATGAACATTTTTTTGAAGAAAAAAAAATATTACCGGTAATTACACTGATTAATTACAGGGATTAATTTAAACTCCACAATGTGTGGCAAAATTATTCGTTTGGGACTGTTATTCCCTCGACAGCTGTGTCCAATACAGCTAATTGAAAGATTTATGGTTTTCCATGAAATTCACATTAAATATATTTGACATGGCTGACAGAACCTCCCAGGAAAATCCAGCGCTCATTGATTCAGATTCAGCTCCACATCCAATGGTAACACGAAGCTCAGCATTTGCAATGTTTAGGGTGCTTTAAATTAATTTCGAACGTCAACATATATGTACTGGACAGATTCACCTACATGCATCTCTTTTTCAGAATGAGATCTGTGTATTCGATACACAAACTAACTGAAAAGGCCGCCCTAAGTCTTTTAACATTTGAAAGGGTCAGTTGTAATGGAATTCTAGCAAGGATGCCAGGTTCATCACCTCCATTGTTTATTGAACAGCGGGAAGGGATTGTTATTTTATTAAGTTGCCAGGATCTCAGTTTGACATTTCTACTGAACGGCAACTCCGTATGCAATCCATTCTTTCTTGTCGCCCCACGCTGAGCAACTGCCAAATATCAGAGACCGAGGAGTCATATTGAACGTGACGAAAGCCAGGGGTGCCACGGTGGCGAGATCATAACTACCACGCCTGGTATACAGGAGGTCGTGGGTTTGATCCCGACCATGACGCCTGCTGCTGTATATTTGGAGTTTGCGTGTCTCTCTCCCCATGGTCACGTGGATTTTTCTCCAGGTCCTCCAGTCTTTCCCTCCACATTTAAAATCAATGTGCGCTATACATTTCCACATGATAAGCCACTTCGTTGAGCTATCATTTGCGGCCAGGTCTCTTGTGAAAAAGAGCCACATAGCTCAGTGGGCCTTACCTGGTAAAATAAAAATTGTTAAAATAGTTAGTAGTTCGTTTCATTGACGACCACCAGTTGTGTTAAGGTGACTCATCCACGATCATCTCCCTATACACTCATTGAGTTTACCTGACGCCCTTCGTGTCCGGGATCTCCACGTTCACCCTGTTAGGGACACGCAAACACAAACATAGTAATACAGCATTAATAATACCCATGTGCATACCCATGGAAGCCTCACTGGGTGTCAAGACTTTGAGAGAAAGGTCTCGCATTCGGATGTTTGGCCAAATCCAATAAAGGTGTTTTTTTTTATTTAATGTGGGAAGAAACCGCAATGCCCAGACAAAATGGGGGGGGGGGGAATCTCAAAGCACAGCACAGAGAGAGATTCATAAAAAGAAAATTGTTGTACTGCAATCTACTAGTTACTTAGTTTAACATGTAGGCTTTCGCGACCAATATTACTCATAATCAACGTTAATGGGTTAGATCGCGTTACTTATAAATGTGTCGTAACTTTAAGATGTTTTCTTGTTCATGTTTTTGTTTTTTTGTTTGTTGCGGTTGCACCCGATTCAAGAGCCGAATGGCTCACAGGGCTATACCTAATAAATTAAACTTGAAACTTGATGTCTGGTGCGGTCAGGGTGATTTTGGTTGCAGCCAGAACTTTGACATTCAGAATTATAGTGACGACAAAAAAAATATTCTCGAGGGCAGCGATAAAAATTAAACGTTCCACCAATAAAAAAGACTTAACAGGACTCAATTTTGGGAATCTTGAAATTGCAATGTCTGTCTAGACAGAGCATCACAGGTCATCTGCTGAACACAGAGATAAGCACTGACCTAGCACATGGTTTCTGTGGAGATAGCATTGGCGCTTGGATATTGCGAGCATCACCGTCCTAATGGAAGTGATGTCCTGCACACTGAATGCCCAGTTGCAGCTTTTCCAACTCTAGACGTCACAAGGCACTCATCATAGACAGCCAATACGTGTGATGCAGGTGTCTGTCTGGCATCTGTGGGGCAGCGGTGGCGTTGGCATATGTATGTACGCTGAACTTCTCTTGCACTGTACATAGCCAGCTGTACTAATCGGAGGTGCGGTGGAAGGACAACGCACTAAAAACAGAAAGCAGTTTTAAAGAAATGAGTTTTAAATTTAGATGTAAAAGAGCGTAACTCCAATGGCCTCGTAATATCGGAAGGAGTGTTCCAGATGGCCGCAAAAAAATCCGTCACAGTTCCTATGATCACTGTTTCATTGGTTTCATGGCTTTATTTTGGTGATTTCGAAAAGTGTATTGGTTTAGCCATGTTTGTTTGTTGTAGTACAGAGTTAGACTGATGGCCTTAATCTAAGTTGTCTTGTGGTTGTTGTTGGTTGTTTGACATGCATCCCACTGGGATTTTTGCACACAGCGTTGGTGTACGGTGTTTTTTTCTGCAATATTTTGCTGTCTTTTCTTGGATTTTCTGTTTGCACTCAGTCACATATTCACTTTAAGATGTTTTTTTGTTCATGTTTTTGTTTTTTGTTTGTTGCGGTTGCACCCGATTCAAGAGCCGAATGGCTCACAGGGCTATACCTAATACATGAACTTGAACTTGATCTGAAAGCACCGCGCGATGCGGTGATCACCGTCTTTGTTTGATGGCTAAGCTAGAGCTGAGGGCCCCAAGTCTAACTTAAAAAGCCAATTAACTGAACACGTCTCTTCCGCAGCTCTCTTCTCTCATCTCCCCACATCTCTACCGATTGTTTACATCACATCCGACAAATCGCTAGGAGTTTAAAAGTTGAAAGGGGTTGGGGCGGGTGTTTGGAGGGAGCATCGAAAGTGTAAAAACATTAATTTCTGCTTTGGGCCACCCCAAGGAGCCAGCACCGCCACTGCCTGGTGTCCTCTTGGCGAGAGGCAGGTGCCTGCAAAGCTTTTAATCTTCAGTGAAGGGAGGAAAGTAAAAAAAATGTAAGCTTCGGATTACTACTTCATGTACACTTTTAATCATTAATGCTCGTAAGTGCGTTTCCTAGTCGGCGTCCCATGCCATGCACATTAGGGCCATGCAGATGAATATGGTCGGTAATGGCTCTTTAATGCATAAGTGGATCTAATTCACTGATTTACATTAACTTTGCATTTGGCTCGAGAGCATCTCTTTTGCATTTTCCTTAAGCCTCGTAGTGCATTTGCGCGATCCTCGCTGGGCACGCGTTGGGGTTTATCTGCTGGCGGGGGTTCGGCGGCTCCATCTGATACGAGGGGGGGGGGGGCAGGGGGTGGAGTGACCGCGCATGAGATCCAATCTCTGCAATCAGTGGCGTGCGGAGCGAGGTCACAGCCCCCCCATCTGACCTCCCCCCCCCCTCGCCCCGCGCGCTCTGCAGCTGCCACGCGCCCTCGCAGGGTCCAAATGCGCACTCCCTTTTCACAGTCGGCATCAACAAACTCATCGAGGAAAATTACATGGAAAGCGAAGAGAGAAAGCGACGATTAAAAACATCCCACGCCCGCTCAGGTTGAGCTGTTGGCCTGCGGATATGCCCCCCCCCCCCACCCTCGGCACCGTACTGATGAAACGCTCGGAATAGAGTCATGTAATGCCCCTCTAAGTCAAATGGAAAGGCAGATTCCCGAACAGCCCTTAAAAAAAGTAAAAAGAAAAAGTGATTTCCTGAACCAAAAAGGGCATTGAGGTGGTGGTCATTTGGTGTTTGCAGCCATGAGCTAGTGGTGAAAATTCCACATTCCTATGGCAGGCTAAGTCTATCCATAGAAAAACAACTGCTGACTTTCCCACAAAGTGGTAAATAATTTCATAGACCCACCCGCCCCCCCCCCAGCGGGTTTACAGGCTAAATCAACCTCCAAATCAGGATTTGAACTTCAAAACAACTTTTTAATTCTTAGCTGCCCACTCAGCCACCAGCAAACCTTGCCAGTCAGACATTGTTTTAGTAGAAAAAGGATGCACATCAAAGGGCAATGGTGGTGGAGCAAAACGCAACAGCTTAGCCCAGAAATTCCTACTGCACGGGGACGTGCCCCCCCCCCCCCCCATAGAGCCCCCCCCCCCGACTTTATTTATTTTGGGATAAAAATTACGGGGCGCGGAGAGAAAAATTGTCCGTAACGCCCACACATGATGGCTTTCCTCTTCCAAAGAGGACCGCGAGACCCCAAGCACCACGCCCTAACCTCTCCCCGTGAAGGATGCCTTGAGGTTGTTTTTTTCTCTTCCTCCCCTTCTGATACGGCTTGGGGAGGTTGGAGATTGTAGCTGGAATTCGCCCGTAGTGATTGCCTCATTCCTGGGCCACCCAGAGGCTCGGGAGAGCTGAGCGGCAGTCGCCGAGCGATGATTGATGCGAGGAGGGAAACGGGGGAACGCAGGGGAGAGGAGTGTGTGTCTCACCGGAGGTCCAGGGGCACCTATCCCAGGTAGTCCTCTCTCACCAGGGAGGCCGATGGGACCTGTCAAGCCTCTCTCGCCCTGCCGAGCAACAGAAGAAGGTGCAGCGCATCTCGTAAAAATCAGAACGGACAAAAAAAAAACGAATAAGAAACAATGCATTTGACCGTCGGCGGCAGTGGTTGAGAGCAGTGGTTTCGCACAAATAAAATATCTGGGAACGATGAGAAGCTGTAACCGCCGAAATGGTGGAACAGCAGGAGATGTTTCCATATGACAATGAGCTAACACATGCAAATACAATGTGTCCGTTAACCCAGAAAATTACTTCGAGTCTCAAGCCTATTTTTCTCAGGGTGTTTGTTCAACTCCTTTCTGAATGAGTTAATAAATATGAAAACATGACACTAATATGATTCTGTGAATGGCCATGCAGAAATGCGAGTTTATGTAAAGAAAATCCAACCAAGGGAGGGTGTTCGTGTGATTTTGGTGGCTCAGACATTGATCGTGAACACTATTAGAAGGGGCAGTGGAGACCTGGTGGAATTACCGTGGCAGGGGATTTTGGGTGTCCACTTAACAATTTATTAGTTTGTGAGACCTCAATGAAAAAACGGGAAAAAGAGGGACCAGGCCATTAATGATTTAGAAGTCTCAAAACATTTTCTTGTACCCAAAATGCTCTCAACCCAACAGACAGGACCCAGACTCAGATATTTTGATATCTATAAGTTTCTACTCAGTCCTGCACGTGCAATTCCTTGCGACCCTAAGCTCGCAACTGTCTGGAAGCATTAGATTGCACTCTCGTTTCCCCCTTGATGTTAAAAAAACAAACCACATTGCTTTCGTAAGTAAGGGAAAAAAGAATAATGTGGCTTCGTGTCTGTGACTTACAGAGGGGCCTGGTGGTCCAGAAGGCCCTGCTCTGCCTGGGTCACCCTGGGGAACACAAAAAAATCAAAATCAACACTGAGGTCATGTGCGTTATGAGCAGAGGTGTAACGATGCACAAGCCCGTCAAATTAACGAATTGTCGGAGGTTCAAAACAACGATTTTAACTCATGAATATATCCGTACTTTTTTTACACCGAGGTGACCGTCGCGGTCACTTGTGGCTGCACTAAAGTGGTCTTGTTAACGACGTGAGCATGCGACAAGTGTGACTCGAAACGCGTCAATTGTTTCACGTGCAAATCGATGCATGCTTCGTCGGCTTGAAATAAACTTGAATTGATGAATCGATGTCCCACTAGTTCTCAGCAAAAGCTCATGTCATTAAATACATTATTTGGTGATTAATTTGTTGAGGCTTACGTCATTAAAGCATAATTATAATCATCACCATCAACATTATCATTATGTATGATGTATATATGTATGTTGAGCTATCTATGAACTATTTGTAGCCAACCGAGCTAATCGGAGGTGCAGGGGAAGGACAACAAACTAAACACAAAAAGCGGTTCTGTAAATTACACCTCCCTCGCTGTACATCTGAAGATGCCAGAACAAATGAGTATTTGATATCAAGAACGTGATTGCAAAGCAAAGCACAACGTTCAAAAGCAAAACCGTACCAACAATATTCAGAACACTGGAGAACGGAGAGCTCAAATGTGAGTAAGTCGACAAATTCGTAGCGTCCGGCTTCCAAAGGGGCTCAAGTGAAAATGGCTAAAAAGCCTCCGCCCAATGAACCCAGGGTCTTCGCATGCCCCATCAGCAAAATATCTGATTACCGGCATTAGTTGAGTCCGATTTATTTACATTTGATATTAGTTATCGTCTTAATCTTGTCAAAGACAAACTATGGAATTTTAGCCAAGTCTCAGTATGTGAATTTCATCGAGTCATTCTCTTGGTCTAGTCGACTGAAGGAGTAGAAATTTTTGTCAACTCTTTGTTATTAAATGTTTGTGTGAGCATGTATTCCCCCCCCCCCCGCCACTAAAATATTAAGATGTCAGCCAATCAGTGAACTCAGTAAATATTTGTTTATATGTACACAGCTGAATATCATGCTTGGCCTTTCACAGAGCAACGTGGTCTCTAACAACTCGTAAATTCCATCTCGTCGTAGCCAGACATGCTTGGCGGGACTTCGTCGCCATCATCTCTCGCTCGATGATTTTTGTCCGCTCACAGTCATCGCTGACTCAAGTCAAAAACCGCTCAGTCGATGAATAACATCGTCACTCATTTCGTTAACACTGCCGATTGCCCAGCAGCTTGGGTGTTCGGTGTCTGGGTGCACGGCCTGTGGCCACGTGGCGTGGGTCAGAGGGGGCCTAAACATTGTCCTGGCTTAGGGCCCGGAGTGCCTGGGGATCCACGGCTGGCTGCTCTCACCGTCACGCCGGTCTTGCCCAGCCCCGGCTGCCCAACCTCCCCTGGGGTGCCAGGAGGCCCCTGAGGACCTGGCATCCCCTGCTCACCGGGCAGCCCATCGTTGCCCTGCAAAGAGCAAACACAGAACAATAATAATAACGATGGCAATTGTTTACCGCGGAAAGACTCAAAGGCCCATTTTTTTAGAAGGCGACTCAACCTGGAACCTGGATGCTGCTGTGGTGTAATGGTTAGCACCCTGGATTGGCAATGCACAGGTCACCGGGTTCAATATCTCGGTGATGAAATTGAAACAATGGAGCAAGTTTCTTAAAATCCGCTCGCCTCTCTTCACCCGGAGACAAAATTAATGGGTGCATCGCAGTTAGTCGATCGGCAGGTCACGTTTGGTTGGTTGAAGTGTAAGTACTGCCATTTATTCCAATAACATCTGGCCTGCGTGGAAGAGCAGGGCTAATACATCTCTAGATGGTCTCTCTAGCACTCCTACGAGTGGAGACCATTCTGCCAGCTGTGGCAGGGCTGTACCTTTAGCTTTATCCACTTTACGAAACTGGGATGTTCGTCCAATATCCTACTGAGTGTTTGGCATTTAGGCTAAACACTTCAATAGCCAGTGAAAAAACATACTTCACGCGAAGAAGTGACACTCGGCACCGGCATTTTGTGTCTACAACAAGCTTACAACACCTATAGCAAGCCCTGGTGGTCACCCATGCAATAATACTAACCAGGCACAAGCCTGGTTAGTTTCCAAGATGCAATGATATTGGTGGCATTTCAGACGATTGCCTTACATTAAAACGTGTCAGCAACCACACCGCGTGATACATTTGCTCGACATCACACATTTCATAACCAGCTTAATTGATTTCTAAATAATGTATTTGAATTGAAAAAGCACCACTCACCTTCTCACCTTTCATCCCATCAAGGCCATGTGGACCAAGAGGTCCAATGGCCCCCTGCAAAAAGAATATCGAATCATGAGAATTAAAATCATAAAATTACATACTGCACTCATGCTCAGAGCACTTCGAGACTGAAATCGGTTTAGGTCGCCCAGAATAAATGGAGCAACTAATTATGAACAGTAAAAGTTCCTCAAGAAGGTCACAAGGTCACCCGCGTGAAACTCATCGAGCACACAATATATATCTCTGTGGGTTCTCGCGGTCGTGCTGTGCATGCAAAATCAACGTTTTTGGGTTTAGATCGCGTTATTTATAAATGTGTCGAAACCCTCCACCACCCGACACGGCCAATCATTTAAAAAGTGTAAATCTCCAATTTGTTTTCGCGGTGTGTGCCTCGTATCGATCGGCACGACGTTCGACGTTTTGCTCCAGGTGCTGGGAGCTTGCTTCTTTGGGAAACTGACCAATGTGCTGCAACCCCCCCCACCTCCCCCCCCACCCCCCAAAAAGACTTTGGGGAGCTCCATAATATTTCGTTCTTGACTCCCTCAAGAAGGCAAACAAGGCAAGGTGCAGCCCATGGGTCCCGGGGGCCACTTACGATGGGTCCGGGTGAACCAGGGGGCCCAACTAGGCCAGGAACTCCCGGAGGTCCCTGTGAACGAAAAGCGAAGGGTCAAATGAACAAATGAATATCTCGAGCAAGGGTCTCCACTGTTCCCGTCCGTACATTTACCTTATGAGAATCAGTGTTTGGGTAACACTTACGGCAAATCCCCTGTCTCCAGGAAGTCCAATAACACCAACTTCACCCTTCTCACCCTGCGGAACGGATAAAAAAAATCCATTCACAAATAAGCGAAGGTACGTTTATATTCGCCCCCATTGTTGCACGTGCGAGTGAACCCGGTGTTTACTTTGCTCTTGCTCCCGCTTATTTAATAAATGGAAGCTTAAACCGCAACGCGTTTTGCGGCGTGCGTGCGTGCACATTAGCGGGTTTACATCGCTGGTTCTGCCAATGATGTCCGGCCCACTTAAGTCTGGGGCATTCTCTCCCCTGCTGCCCCCCCCCCCCCCCCATTGTATGGAACTCCTTTCTCACAGTCGTACGTGCTGTTGACTCCCTATCCCCGTTCCCAAGTACGGGCTCAAGATCTTCTCCTCTGCCTGTGACTCACAGCCTCGGTTTAAACATACCCGCTGTTTCTGTACAGCATCTTGCAACGTGGACGCACACCGAGGCGCGATGCAGAAATCAGTTGTATTGCGATACTAGTTCATCTTCTTGGTTCTTTCGGTAAAGTCACGTAGAAGGAAAATAAAAAATAAATAAAAAAAAGATAATAAAATAATTCTCACGACGTTTCGGCCACAACGCAAGCAGCCGTCTTCAGGTGGAGAACAGGTCTGTCAAGTGACTTTACCGAAAGAACCAAGAAGATGAATCCCTGCAGTCACGAAAGCTTTAAATAGATACTAGTTCAGTTCGTTTTCTACAGCTCTCTAATATAGCTCTCGAATGCGTTTTCAGGTTGCACACGCGGTGCAATCGGAAAGCACATCAGTTGCGTTGTTATTACTTGCAAGGTCGCGTACGTGTGCGTGCTCTCTCTCTCTGTCCGTTGCACGAGGGTTCGCTGCTGCAGCGAGTGATAGTTGCCACTGGGTGGCACTGCAAGCCAGGGATTGCTTCACTTGCCCCCCACGCAGCAATGCAATCGGTTCGGTGGAAAATGGTTGTGGTGATTTCTGGTCACTCACCTTTGGGCCCACGGGGCCAGGAGGGCCGGGGTTTCCTCGTTTGCCCGTCGCACCCTGTGGCACGAAACACGACACGGAGAAACAGGGCGATGAAGCGAAGGCTAAATCTGTACAAATGGTAACGGCCCCATTTTCAAAACTTACCAGCGTTGCAATTTGTGACAGGGTAAGCATATAGACACGTGTATAAAACTAGGTTGTACATTTTTGACAGCCCAGGAGAAATGATGCGGTAGTTTTTTTTCCAGGCTCTAAAAATGTGGATTATCACACGGAATTAATGGGACACAGACACTGGTGCCTATTTATATGCTCAGCTGACAAAATATGATCTACCTCGGTGCGTCTGGATTCGTAAATTAGAGCCCTTTGTGACCATACTGCCGGATGAAGGCATCCCAACGCTGTGTCACTCATGTTTTATTGTTTGATCATACTTCACCGTTCTGAGCCAGTGCAGGTTAGCGAAGGAGGGGAGGTCCACGAGAGCTCAGATAATCAATCACCTCTGATGGTAACCGTGCCCAGGTATCAAATAGAGGTTGGGACCGATTTATGGTACAGGGCCACAAGCTACTTTTGCCGTTATTCCACCCCACTGACACTGTACTGCACTTTAAATGGATACATTAGTACATTTATATATCTTATTTTTGTATTGTGTAAATTAATCTTCATTTGATTGCACTGAACGTATTCGTTTTTTAATGAGATTTTCATTTTTCTTCATATTTGTAGATTCAATTATTTACATATATTAAAAATGTCAGGACAAAACATGTACGGATATATCTTCAGTGTCAATGTATTGAGATGTGATTGCATTTAGAAACTATATACATTTTAACTCCATTGCATATGTTAATCTTTTCATGTGAAATATTTGAAATCTAACCCGCTTTTCACTTGGAATTTACAAGGATGAAGAAAATTATGCAAAAATAGGAACACCATTTAAATCCGAACACATAAAAAATCAACACTATAACAGTTAATCTTTCCACGAAAATAAATCCTTTCAGTGCTTAAACAAGCTTCAACAGGACCCCTTCACAACTTATTGAAAGAAAATAGAGGGATGCCCTGTGCATTAGTTTCGCTGTTGAGGATCACACACTCGAGGATTCCAGCTCCCTCTGAATCTCAACACTTCATCAAACGCCCATGGACCTAATTGCCTCGAGACCGCAAGCAATCTGTTGGTGGACTGAAGCAACCTCGCAACCAAAGACAGCAGCTGCCCCCCCCAAAAAAAAAAATAAGCACGCTGTCAAAACATTAGTGCTGGCTGGGTTGCAAGCAAGGCGTGCTTATAACAGGACGCGCCCTCGGGAAGAAAAAAAAAGCAGCCAAAATGAAAAGGACAGGGCGAGGACAGCGTTTCAATCACAGATAAAATATCAAACGTTGGGCTCTCGGCTGCGATAACTCTTGTTGGCAAAAAAAAAAAATTGAAACGTCCATGAGCTGCCAACCGCGTGACGTTTCCAAAGAATTGGGATGTCGCGACTTGCATTTTACCGGCGGTTAAACGGGGCCGTCAGCGCCCCGCGCTCAGCGGGCCAGGCCAACGTCTGCTTTTTAAATGCAAATAAACACGACGCTCAGATTTGGAGACCCGGCGTGGGCCTTCACCAAACGTCGGCGGTGTGTGTGTGTCACTCACCGCCGACTTGGGAAGGTTTTACATTTTTCGTGGGGCGATTGCGACACAATGGATTAATCTGCGTTAGAATGGACGGGGTGGTGGGGGGGGGAATTGTCGGCGCGCGCACGGACGAGACAACGTGGAGGAGTTGACAGATCGCGAAGACTTGGGGGGGGTGGGGGCAAGGGGGGACGGGGTAGGTTTGGGAAGCCATCCCCTGACTTTGGGAGACACGGGATGCAAAGCTCAGACGCAAGCGGGCCACGAAATGCTATTTATGATTTTCATTTCACGACGGCAGTGGCCAAAAAAAAAACTGTCCAGGCCAACCCATAACATCTGTTGCAAGAGGAACATCTCCGATTGGATGTTTTTTGTTGAATCCAAACACTCCCCCCCCCCCAAAAAAAAGAGAAGATTACATTTTAAGCAAGAAAAACAACTGTGGAAATGTGTGGTCAGTGATAGAATTGAGACGCAGCGGAAAACCCAATATAGAGCAGATCAATTCTGCGCTCCGAAATCCACACCGCCAAATTTCTTTCGCCGTGTATGACATTTCCCATCACATGCTCTGGGAAAGGGGGGTTACGTACATTTTCTCCAGGGAGGCCCCGGTCCCCCTTCTCTCCTCTCTCACCTGGCAAGCCCTGTGAGCACACACGTCCGTGCGTATGTACGTGTGCATGAGTGGTGTACATGTAACAAGCGTACAGTGAAAATGTGTGTGTGTGTGTGTTGTTGTTGCGTGCAAGACAATTAATACAAAAATAATTCCGCAGACATGTTCCAAGTGGATAATCGCGTGCACTTACACCTTTGTGAGTGTGTGCACGCATCAAAGAGTGCATGGTGAAGTGCGTTGCTGCGTGTGTGCAAAACACAGTTAATAGCAGTCATGCACCTGCTGAGTCGTGCAAGCGCATAGGGTGAAGTGTGTGTGCGTGTGTATGCATTTATGCATTGTGTGAATGTGAACGTGTGCGCATTGTGTGTCTGTGTGTGGTTCAGTGTGTGGGGAGCAGTCGTGTAGCGGTTAGCGCGCTGCGCTACGAACCCGGACAACCAAAGTTCAATTCCCACCAGTGAGGATTATCTGAAACGGTCCTGGGCCTCACCTAGTTCGACCCAGCCTCGAATGAGTACCTTGTGCAGTGTATAAACATCGCCACTGGGGAGACAAAGGCGAGTTGCTAGCCCGCTAACATCACTTGCTCCCAACAGTCTGTTAAGGCTGAACGGGGGGGATCTTTGTCTTTGTGTTTGCGTGTGCGTGTGTATCGCAAAGCAGAAGCAATAGTACGGCCGTGTTCCAAACGGAGAATGGCGTGCACTTCACCAACATGCAAATTGCGTAAATTAGATTAAACGCCGGTGTGGAAGAAGTGCATTAATTTCTCGAGGTGGGTGGGGGGGGGATACGCAGCCAAACGGCGAAGCTGGCGTGTGGTCCTTGGGAACAAACTCAACCCCCCCCCCCCCCACCGAGGTCCCAGCGGCGTGTCCACGAAAAATCCCCCCCACACACACCACCTCCACCACCATTCCCACCGGCGCAAAATATATCACTCGGAGGAGCACGCGAGCCGCCACGTTCGCAGAGAGTGACCGCGGAACAACTCCACAAAGCGCGACGAGAGCTTTCAACAGATTAAAAGCATCGCAGGCGCTTTGCGACAATAATAATAATACTACGTCCATAATAGAGGTTTGTTTTTGGGGGTTAGATCACGTAAATATATAAATGTCGTTAAAACCCGCCATCACCTGACACAGCCAAGCAACAACATTTACAAACTGGTACTCAGATTGTGAATGTTGTGGCTTGGCTCTCCAAACACACCGGTTAGTGCTGTGCTAGTGACGAATTGGCACGTTCTGTTCACGTGACAACCCTTACTAGTTGGCTGTGTCGGGTGGTGGGGGGTTTTAACGACACATTTATACATTTACGCGATCTAACCCAAAAAAAACTTATATTATGAATGATATTGGTCGAGAAAGCCCACGTGCTGATAATAATCCGTTTCGGGTTTATTTTTTACTCCCACAACGAGTATTCAAATGATCCGGCAGAGTTCATTATTTTTCGGTTGCCCACGCGAAAGCGCCCTCGGGCGATGCAATGTTCGGCCTCGTGGAGAGCGATCCATCATTTACCTATTTGCGGGCCACGCGACTCATTTTGCTCCCCGCTGAGGAGTAAACATCGAATGCCGCTCCCGGTACCTTTTTAATAGACGCCCGGCGTCGCCGACAATTGAGAGGAAGAAGTTGAGCAATTCCTGCGGACAAATAAGCCTGGAAATGATGGGTGGGGGGGGGGGGCTGCTTGCCACTTACCGCAATTCCAGGTTCTTGGACCACAGAGGTTTGAGTGTCCTGCGCGCGAAAAAACAGAAGCGTGAGAAAACAAAAAAATGTTGTGCGCGTGTTCAGTGTTTAGCTCCGACGCGGAAGCGCATTAAATTTTTGGACACGCGTTTGAAGCGGCCACGGCAAAACTCGTACGGCTCTCACATCGGAAATTCGGTTGCGGTGCTTAAACAAATTAAGAGTCAGAACACCGCGTTGCACTAAAGCTTTCCATTTCACATTTACATTGAACGCGCTCAGAAAAAATAAAAACCCCGCAAAGTTTTGCTGTGAAGTGAATTGAATCGCTGGCTGCGGAGTTTCAATTTCCACCGAGCGACGGCGTGAGGAATTGAGAAGTTTAGGGGACAAACTCACCGTGCCTGGCAATCCGGGAAGGCCCCTTGGTCCAGCGTCGCCCTGAAAATGCAGATTGGCCACGCACGTGAATCATCCAGCGTGCGCACGCCTCAACCGAACGAAGTGCATCTCTTCCTGTGTCCCTTTCAAATGTTGTTTTATTGTTTTCTTTGTTCTCTACACATTTTTTTTTCACCGAGCTATCATGAAACGATGATTCATCAATTCAGTACTCTCTCAGAGGAGTGCATGGCCTCGTCCACAGAATGGCATGCAGAAGGAGATATCAAAGAACCTGACGTCCCTTCAAGTAACCTGTTATTAATGCGTAAGTTGCAGCACATTTCAAACTATACACTAAAACTATAAACTATTCTCATTTTACCAAGTAAGGCCCAATGAGCTATTTAGCTCTTTTTCAGAAGTGACCTTGCCACATATGATAGGTCAACAAAGTGGCTTATCATGTGGAAATGTATAGCAGCCACATACCATAAACGCATGTTTCTAAATGTGGAGGGAAAAACCGGAGGACCCGGAGAATAATCCACGCGACCACAGGGGGGGAAAAACGTTCAAACTCCAAATATAAAGGGATCTGTGTGTATACAACGCCCCACATATATGCGCTTAAGCCCATGCTGATAATCGGTAAGAGGGCTTAAACCATCAATTTAGTAAACACGAGAGAACCCCGGTTAACTCGACAGTCACTGAAACCCAGATCCCAAGCCAGGATCTCTGCGTGGTCGGCTTCGGCTCTGTGCTCTGATCTGAGCGCGGACTTTGTTGGAACAAACCGATCAAGTGGGCACAAACAATTCCAATGGTGTGAAATATCGCAAATAAAACAACACACACACACATATCAAACGCTGTATTGGCCATTGTGATCCACCAAAAATGAGTTCCTCAACAAACGCTTCATCATGGTCGTGTCCAGAAGACGTCAGAAAAGCTGGTATTTTATCCCTTTGGGTGTGAAATAAAATAAAATAAAAACTGTAAACCGGGATCATTGATTTCTTGTGGGCAGCATGCAAACACTTCGCTGCACTGGGAAAAATTGGCCCCACTGCTTTTGTGAAGGATCTTGTCTCAAGCTGGGCTATTCAAGAATGTCATTTATCAATTACTCGACTAATTATTATCGGTTTGGGTACTCGACAAATCAGATAGCATTGAGAGAATTGGGGATGGGGGGGAGGGGCCCTCTCACTGTTGTTTCCACGTGTGTCATTGGACAGTGATGGACGGGCTGTGGTGATGCCATGGACATCATCATTCACGTTGAGCTGGGCGTGGCTTCTACGCAGGGGGTTGCCTGCCTTCAGGAGGCAAGCAGGACACCCTCTACGTAAAAGGGCTCAAGTAATCGACCGCAAAAAACAGTGGTCGATTACAATTTTCTGCCGATTAATCGACGCAACTGACGAATAGTCTCCGCTCTACTTTGATCTAAAACACCGCGAGATCTAGTAGTGGCATTTAACAGGGTACAGTCTGCTGATGAATATAACAACAGTGAAAACCAATAGAGAGTTTCATTGCTTAATTGAAATCTCTTCTGGAAAAAATATATTGGCCAAGATGACCACACAGGCCGTTGGGAACAAAACGTTATTTAATCTTTTATAGTTTTTAGTCAAACAGACAACGTTTCATTGTCTATTTATTATTTCATTCATTTAACGGTTGGTGAGCCATCGACCAAACCTCCGGGAATCTGCCCAATCTCATCAAATCTGGACAGTTGAGGCCGGACAGTGCCTGGATAGTGCTTAGATGTGTGACCGCCGTGCATAAAGGTGTTATAGGTGCTGTTGTCTGCAGAGTGCAGCGAAGCAAAGTCCATTGCTCTCCGGCACTCTCAACACTTTCACCGACCCGCATTGACCAGCGTGGTGAAGTTTAAGCAAAGGACCTTCACGCCCTGCACGGCGAGGGGGAAGGCCCTCATCCAGCAGTGGATTGAAAACCCGGCCGTGCATGCACGTGTACAGTGGTTGATGAACAGGTTGGCTCAACGGACATATCCATGTTTGTGGCAGGGAAGAGAGCTGATTCTTCGGCCCCAATATGCACTGAGCTGCCTATGACTTTCACGCTTGACCGTGCAATCTTTGGCGTTTACGAGACCCAGAAAAAGTGACGTTTCTTCAACGTCCGCTTTTGGTGTTTTTCTTCTGAAAATCATTTTGGCTACCAACAATTAAATTGGCTCTGCTTCGGGCAATTTACATATCTGAATTTGAAGGTCGCTTGGAAGAGTAGGCCAAATATCCTCGAGAGGGGAGGCCCTTTTGTCAGTAGGTGCGTGAGCAGGCAGTTACAGAAGCTTCACCTTTTACCTTCTACAATTGAAGGCAATTACATTGGTCTTCGCAGATTTCCCGTGTTCTTAATTGCAACATCCATTACAATAAGGAACATCTATTGTCACAACTGCAAGAACACGTGGGATGTTGTGACATCACACCTCATGGGACTCCGCCAATAATGACTCTTTCATTTTCACCGTTTCATATTTAGATTCATTACTTAAACCAGGACGTCGACGTGATCAGTCACGGCACATGCAGTACATCTCGACGCAGTACACACACCACATGATTCAGTAGTAAACAGTGCCAGATCCTCAGTGTTCGGAGTTATTGCACGAGCCTCTTGGAACCTGACTTAAGTACTTTCCACCGCATCGCGCGCTTCGACGTGCGCTTCCGCGGCCGTCTGGAACGCTCTTAATTCTGATATTATGAAGCCACTGGAGCTATGCACTTTTAAATCTCCATTGAAAACGAATTCCTTTGCAACTACTTTTTGTGTTTAGTTTGTTGTCCTTCCCCCACACCTCCGATTCGCATGGCTAGCTACGTGCGGTGCGAAATAAGTTTAACATACATTCAACGTTTAGCGTTAAGTTTTGAGTTTGAGTTGATTCGATTTCTTATTTGCCTGGCTATTTTACAAGGGAGATCCGTGGTGCCAGGGCACAGCAACAACAAAAGCAAACGACAAATCATCAACATATCGCAGAGAATGAGTACAGGGCCCTAAAGGAACATTACACAGCTAACAAACAGGGTATTTGATGGTCATAAACCAAACACACATGAATACCAAAAAAAAACACAACGCAAATATAATATGACAGCAATAAAAGCTGGCAGAAAACGTTAGGTACAGGTGAAAGTAAGCTCTACGTGTTAGTTTTAACAGCGACATCGATACACGTGAATCAAAAATTCCAGTGCAAACATGCAATAATCAGAAAGCCAATGTTAAGAGCAGCATAGCTGCAGGAATTCCCCTTCCAACATTGTGGAGCATGTATCTGTTGGTCGGTGATGCGTAATATTATAATAATATAATCATACTTCTTACATTTATATTGTGCCCGCAACGTAATTAAAGGTCTCGGAGTGTTTAAATTAAAACCAAAAAAACCCCGCAATGTTTATTGCTTAGTCGAGCGACCTCTTAATGGCAGCTTGTCCCTGTGCAGCCCAAGGTGACTTGCGACACTGGGGGGGGGGGCAATGATTGCGACGTGTAATCCCAATCGAGTAATTTGAGGGTTATTTTTTTATGGAAACAATTTTTTTTTGGTAAATTTGGATTATGGCTATCAAAAGGGGGGGGGGCGGGTGGCACGTGCCCGATCGAAATTAGGGATTTCGATCGGATCATTGGGGTTTATTAGTATCAAATCGGCATTTTGCGACCCCCACTGCCACTGTGTAGCATATTATTACGTGCCAGGGACTCTATGAGATGATAGGACAATAGTCTGAGTCCATAATTGGCAATAAGTAACGGCAAAGCGGTTATAAGTGACTCACAGAATTGTGCGCAGTTGCGTGTACACAGTACACGACTTCCCTGAAGGCATTCACCTTCAGCGAGCGCGATGCCGATCACACAACGCGGTTCGAATTCGACCCTCAACCGATGGCTGCACCATCACTGCACACGCGTCGAATAAAAAGCAAGGGACAAGTCCTTACTTACTAACAACTCCTGTAATTTTTCATTGCGGGAGGGGTTGCCCCCCCTACCTGAAAATCTTGGCTCCACCATTAACCATAGCCAGGAATGAAAGTGAGCTTAAGCTCACATACGTGGCGAGATGTTAACTACCTCGTCTTGTATGCACGAGGTCGTGGGTTCTATCCCGACCCTGACGCCCGTGGCCACGTGGATTTTTCTCCGTGTCCTCTGTTTTTCCCCTCCACATTTAGAAACATGCGTTTAAAGTATTTGGCTGCTATGATTTTCCACATGATAAGCCACTTCGTTGAGCTATATGTGGCCGGGTCGCTTCTGAAAAAGAGATAAATAGCTCAGTGGGTCTTACCTGGTAAGATAAAAAATTGTTAAAAATAGTGAACGTGTGTTCACTGCCTCCGAAGAGGTGGTTACACATCTTACCGGTTAACACCCGATCTGATGATTTAAATGAAAAAAAGTTACTTAAAAAATTTTGGCCAAGTGAATCATGGTCTTATTAAGGGATTAAGTAACTGGTTATCAAGGAAGCCCTTTAAAAAATAAGGATGTTCCATAGCTCACCACGAAAAACACAAAAAGCTAAATCTATACCGTCCTTGTGAATAAATGTACTGGCAAAGGTGCAGCAGTGCAATTACTTGCCTATATTATTGCTGATAGAGGGGGCCTCCACTCGAGCTCTAGCGTGAGCATCTCGACATTGTACTTTGGTCTACTCTTCCACGCCGACTATGCGTCTTGGAAGAGGTGGGAGCCACCCGCACTTTACTCCCACCACCACGCGCGGACCTGACGATCGACTCATCGCGGTGTGCTCATTCACACATTCTGGGTGGACAGAGGTGACGGGATTTGACTCTCAAATAGTTTCAACCGACGAATCGAACCGGCGATCTCTGGATTACAAGTCCAATGTGCTTACTGCCCTAACCGTGAACACCACGTCTCACAGATAAAACATGAATCGACTCCACGGGGCCGTCACTGTGACATCTGTTGAAGGGTAGACATGACAGGCGCAGGCCTGGCCCATGCGCAGCTTGGATCTC